CATTCGTAGTTCCAGTATAACTTTCTCAAGCAGTAAGTTCAAATTAGGCACTAGTCTTTCTAAATAAGGCTGTTAATCTAATATCCATATTCTCTATTTCAGTTAATCGATGAAGACATGTACCACTTGCATCTGTTGTATACTGCCATTTTACTCCAATTCTAACTGTTATACCTTACTTTTGAATAATAAAATTGCTATATGCTGCAAATACAGACTTATTTGTTTTGATGGAGGTAGGGGGGCTCATGGGATTTTCACTAAAGAGCTAAGCGAGTGCGTAAACCAGTGTAAGGTACCATACGGGGTGCATTTTAGTTACTAGTGTTCCATAAGTGCGGGTAGGGGCATTGCTTGCTTGTCATATGGCATTTGAATTAGAAGCTATAAGATAAGACGCAGGTACGGTTAGGATGTGTAACGCGTGTCCATCCATCAGTTGGTGTGACAACCCATGGTGGTTAGAATAAGCTATGAGAGGACCCGAGTCTGTAGGTCTCCCAAGGAAATGACGAGGATATGCACCAAATCACTTAACCTCTACTCATTACAGTATAGACGTCTTAGAGGTGACCTAATGGCTTACAATAAACCTTAACACTTCTGGACATCCCCTAAACACCTAATTAAGCTTAGTTCCAACACTAACCTAAGGGGTAACACCCAGAAACCACAGACACAACACAGCAGGACGGACTGTAGGCACAACTTCTCCTCCTTAAGAGTTGTCAAATGCTGGGATTTTCTGCCGGCCGAGCTAATCCAAGCGACTTCTCAGGAGTCCTTTAAGAGGCAACTGGGTTCATTCTTAAGGACTAAGTATAGTATCATACTATGATTTACCAATTTCTTTTTCCTCTTTTATTGTTAACATACCAAATTTTCTGCCTTGAGGTATTGGTGATCCCCTGCTACTATCCACGGAAGCCTGTTAAGCGAAAGCTTCTTCTATTCAGTCCACAACCATCTGAACACATGAACTAGGTGCTGAGAGGCTCGCTTATCACAAGTTTCTTGCAACGATTAAGTAGATAAAACAGAGTAGCATTAGATTCAGAAATTTATTCAAGAACTTTCATTAAGAATCGAATAGCAAACAAAGGTTTAAACCAAGTTCCAGTTTAAAAGTTGTATTGGTAATGTTAAGCTGCAGTTTTTGTTGTATTTTTCCAAACGAAAGAGTAAAAGAAGTCACAAAATACTGGAAGTGGTTGTGAGACTAAAATGGAAGTACAGCATCCTTTTTATCATCTGCTGTTCGTTGGATCTCCCGTAAACAGTTCCATAGGGCCATAGTTCTAAGGGCGAAACAGTTTTTATGATCTGTGAAGACTCACTCCTGTTGCATTCTAAATGAAAAAATGGTGATGAATTTAGTCAGAAATGTGGAATATATATATAACCAAATTACATATTTTTTAGCAAAGAATTTATGCAGTTGTGATTTAACTTGAGTTCATGAATATTAGGTAAGGTCAGCTACTATTACTTGCGCAAAGCGTGACATGGGCTTAGTACCGTATTGCAATGCTTTTATTATTTTGCTCCCATTTAAGTATTCCCATGCATCTGCGTCTAGTTTAACAGGACAACATACAAGCAGAGTAAGTGTCTGATAAACTGAAAGTCCCAGTTGTCAAAAAGATTCTTAACCTTTGTCCACAGCCAGCTGCATTTAATTGAGACACAGAACACTCATCTTCTAAGACTGTATACTGCTGTTTTGCGGGCAACTAAAAGCTCAGACACTTAGCTATCTTGCTACCGATGTTATTGATGGGGAAATTGTTTAATGACAGTGATCATGAAATATGGTCAGTGATAGATGTACAGTTTAGAAATAAACACCAAACATACTTATCGCTATCTTATAATGTATGATATCATACATGCTATATAGCAACAGCATCAAAGGCACGTTTTTTCCTATTTTTAATCAGGCTGATCTGAATCCGTATACACATTGGAAACAGGCAACTCTATAGAGTATACTTACTAAACTGATCTGTTTCGTTACAGGCTTCAAGCACTATACTTAATTATATCATAATTCCTTCAACTAAACTGAATTATACGACAAACAAGAAAATCAAACTAAGCAAGTGTCATAGTTATTGTTTCACTTGCAAAGACATGTTGCTCAAAGTAGGTAAATGGACATAATTAAGCCGATAAAACCAAAACACGAAATATAGGCCAGCTGAACTTACCTAAGAAAAAAAGAAGGATACATATATACTGCTTTAAAGCAGTATTCAGTATGAATTCATACTGAAGACAACAGGAAGTTGATCATAGAAACACAGTTTACAGTACAACAAACCTTTCTTCAGTAAAATCATGCACTGACAGTCTATCTGGAAACAATCAACTATGTGAATAAAATCACTATGACTTGAGATATCATTTCAGCGTGCAATGGACGTACAGTGTAACGCAGTCGGACGTGGCGAATAAAAATTAAAAACAGAGAAAAATTAACTACATAATCTAGTTATTTAATTAAAAATACATTATGAAATGACAAAATATGTGGTTACTTGAACGCACAAATGACAGTATGCGATACATTAAGTTTACATTGGTTGCGTTGCGGATAAGATCACCCAAATTTACTTATAGAACTAGCCATTGGTGACTTGAGTAAGGCTTTTGACAAAGTTTTTCCTAAACGAATGCTATATAAATTAAGTAATATCGAGATTCAAGTCAGTTTATTGATGTAGTTAAGGGATTTCTTACTTGGACGTCAACAAAGTGTATGGGTGAACTCAAAGTTGTCTAACTGGAGAGCTGCTTGTTGGAGTGCCTCAGGATTAAGTCAGGGGAAGATGTTGTTCTTCTTGTATGTAAATGACCCTCCCAGTCTCCTATCATCATTGATTTTGTTACATACTGACGATGTCAATATATGCAGAACGATAGAATGCATGTCGATGCCACAACCCTTTTGACTTTGTATATAGCATTCGTGCATCCTTAACTTGAGTTCTGCATACAAGCAGCTACCACTCACATTAGACGAGGGAATGAGCTTTTGAAAAAGGTTCACAGAACAACAGCTAAGCTCCCGTATGATGCTGAACTAGCTAAACTGAATATATTTCTTTTGTCCTATGGACGAACCAGAGGCGACTTGACAACAGTTTTTAAATGAATTAGTGATAGATTTGTAACCGGCATACCACCAATTGCGTTCCAAAACACAAAACTTGCGAGAAACCTCTTGAAAATTTCATGGGCCTAGAAAAAATTACTTTTCAAATGACCATCAACTCAACACGTGACCAAAGCTCCATTTGTCGACTCTTTCAAAAAAATTGATCGACCGAGAGACAACCATTGCCAGGAGTAACACAGGCCACTCAAGCATTCTGTCTTTACAAAATGAAAGTGAAACTGATTCTTGTGCTTTTTGTAAAGCATTTAAAAGCTAAAAATGTAGGCGCTGAGTTTAAGTTCAAGGTTTTTGGCACGTTCGAAATCGCATATATTGTCGGTAAGTTGTCGTTTGTTTAATATCATGTTATTTTCGATTAGTAACAATTGCTTTTATCATGACTCGTACGCTTAGTTGGACGCTCTCTCGTTTTCCCTTTGTTCCATTCTTTCGCAGTCCTCACTGGTCTTCACTCTTCCAAAATACTTCAAGTTCCATCTGGTTAGACTTAAACCGCTACATGTTAGTACTTGGGTTTCGGGAAATTTTTATTAAGCGTTAAGTCACTTGGCAGATACTCCATCTTTTAAATGTCCTTAACGAATCTGCAAATGGCCTTACTTCAATCCATATATATCAATCTTTACGGAAAAGTCCCGTTTCTTTTACCTTCTCTCTCGTAAATCAATTTAACTGAAACGTATCTCAGAGAAAGATTTGAGTGACTTGGTGCGATTCTTATCAATCCATGTTGCAAGGCTTTGAAAATGATAGGAGCCCCTATGATAATTGTATTTTGGGTAGTACGAGTTCTGGAATTGTTTTGAAACAATTCGTCTGCCTAGTTTTCAATAAGACTGCTTAGTGAGATAAAACACAAGAAAATTCACTATGATAATCTTTTTAATAGTTAATACACTATGAAACTTCTGTTATAACCTACTTTATTCATCCATATTTTACATGACTCTTAGTCTCAATACTTTTGGTGTCTTTTTTAATGAACTAAAAACCTGTTGAATGTCAAAAACAAGAATGTGATTCATGTATGAAATCTCTCCTCTACAAATTCATTTTTAGACGCACAATAATCACATGTTTTTGAAGTGATACGTAATAATGGCAGTTAAGCATAGGTGTACATTAACTGTTATCATTATATAAAGGCTTATTCAAGCTAAAATAAAATGCCATACAAATTAGGTGAATGATAATAATTATGGAATTCGGTGGTACACCATGATAAGGTAAGTTTTGAAAATGAAATTTAATTGAAGAACGAGTTGTAAAGAAGTATAGATCTGTTTGGATCGAAAGCTTAACAAAGTGGCTAAGACCGATTTTTAGTATTAAAAGAGTGAGTAAAATACATATTTAAAGTCAAACTTCGTATATAAAGTTCATGATAAGTACAAGTCCTCTATACTAACAAGGTGATTGATCTATTGTGCAATAACTGGTACCGTTCATTAACCATGCTGTCCAGTATTTCTTCATCTTCGTGAACAAAATGTTCATCGAGTGACTAGTGTACTTCTGTTCACAGAAATAATATGAATTGATAAATACAGGTTAAAGAGGCTAATTACGAGTTGACCATCATATACGAATGAATATCGGCTCATCCTACTCACGAATTCTTGAATTTGAACAAAAAATTTTCCGACGATCTCTTGTATCATAAAACTTGTCAAATAAACACATCAAAACTTCTATCTTAAAACCACTGAAGTTCGACATGAATTCCCAAGTGATCCTAAAACGTTTATGCTTATATCTTAGAATTCCTCATTACCCGTTCTACATTTTTACAATTTCCTTTTGAATTATCAGCAGATGTATGGATAAAACAAAGCGAAAAACTTTTATGTTTATTCCTTCTGAATTAACTGAACTCAGTCTACTGAGAAATCAAAATTCAAAATTTTCAAATACCACCGATTTTTACTCACTTGGTTATAAAATACCTGAAATATATGGCAATAAATCAAACGACAGTGAAGTTGTACTGATTTTGGGATTTTACGATTCATTCGCTGAGAAAAATGAAATATGCCCTTATTGTTGTAAGTCGCTTTATTTTAATTTATAAGATTTTGTGGAGATGGATTTAATTTATGGGTGGTATTTGCTACAAATCAGTCTCATTTGGGTTATCACTGAAAAGTTGGATTCTATCTCAGTTATTCTAATGGTTAAGTGTTCGGGACGAGACATCAAGTTCCTTTGCGCGATCCATGATGGGATTGCGATTTCATACTCCCGGAGAGCCTCGTTTTAGTAACTATTTCGATTTGGCGTATACTTAGTATTATTAGTCCTCGCACTTAGAGTGTGCCTCACATCCAAGTACTTGGTGGATTAATTAATTTAAATTTTTTAAGGAAACAACTGTCATATACTTCCTCCTTTTTAACAATATCTTAATTGAGACTGCTTGACGAATATAATCTGCAAGTTAATTTATCTGTTGATTTTCATTGGTCTTTCGATTGAACTAGTTAACCTGATTTAAAGGCGTTAAAATATGTACCAACTGGATAATTTTCTAGAACCTTAGTAAATTGAATAATAATTTTGTACTAGTCTTGAAGTTCTCCAGTTCCATTGTGTTTTTAAGTCATTAACTTTTTAAGTTTAGCCACAAACTTCCTTGGAGTGCAATGATGACTGATGTAGGAGAAAACTGGAAGACTAATACACGACATTAATCAGTAAAATGATTCATTGTTAGCTTAATGCATGTCGGGAAGTATTAATCATTTTGTTTGGGTTTGTGAGACAATCACGACCCATGTTTAGAAACCTTATTTAATGTGATTTAGAATCGATTATAGCTGCAATGGTATATTCAGTCTCTATCTTTTCTTAAAACTCATATACTAATATGAGTACGTAAACTCCGCCAAGGCATGCTCTTTGTTTAGTTACTATCATTCATCGTAATATTATTTCATCTTTTGTTTTTATCTGAACGTATTCTCTTTCTCACTGTGATGATGTAAAATATGGAAACTCCTCTTGATCTTCGTTCTTGTCAAATCTTTTCAAAATTAACCTCTCTTTATGATTTTCCTTAGCATTGTTTCGTATATTCATCCACTATCTCCATTTATGATTGAAATAACATTATTGACGTAAAATTTGAGATGACATTTTAAAGCTGGCGAGAATTTACGTTTTTTAAATTTCTTACTCAACACTGTTTACCTGATTCAACTCATCGATTTAAATATCCCAACTGTTTTTTGTATTGTAAGCAAAGATAGATGGTGAATAGCAGTGGAGTCCAGGACGCATGTTTCGTCCGATTTCGGGATTCGCCAGCCGTGGTACGACCGAGAGTGGGGAGAGTCAGCTCTCCCTCTCGAAAGGCTCTGACATAGCCACGTGCATGCAACCACTGCTAGCGAAGTTCTAATCATTGGCTTCTCGTGGCAGGGGTGCTTTTTACGATGTCGAGAGGACGAAAAGCGAATGCCCGACTCATTAACTGGGTTGGTGGATACGGAGGGTTCATCTACGTGAGTTGGAAAACCCTGATTCCAAACCAATGGTGTACATGGTCTCCAGGATCCTAAGAAAACAAATGGTGTATGAGCCTATTGTTGATCACCGGCCACCATGGTAATGCATCTCCTGACGTTGCTCCACTGCCTTGTGGATAAGCCTTTAGGTCGAAGGCTCTGGGCCCCTAAGAAAACCACCTGTCTCGGTTTGGGCACCTGGACAGTATCCCAGCCTTCACATAAATCGAATAATTTATGTGACGCATATCTGTTTGGTACCAATGTTTATGTGTTTAAATAAATAATAAATAAATGTACATGCATGCCAGAGTTGATGTTCACTCCAGGAAAGTCCTAAACATCAATAGAATGATTCAGACAAACAAAACAAAATGTATTTGTTGTGTTTCAAGAAGTTGATCACATGAACGTTTCTTATACATGTCTTTTACTGACTAGTTTGATTAGTATATCTTAGATACAATTGATCATTAGAAAACTTTATCCTCATGCTCTTTATAAGTTACTATGTGTCTACAACCATATAATATCGTCTATCTAAGCAGTTCAACACTATAAAAATACTTTATTATTCTATCATAATTGAAATTAATCACAGTTTGGATCAATAGTCAGTATTGTATATTTAGTTAAACGACGACGTAAGTCATTGAAGTCATTGTCTCAACCATGATTGATTCATCTTTATAGAATAGACTTGACGCATATATATTAGCGCTCTCTTGTACCAATATTCATGTGTTCAAATAAAAAAAATAAATAGCTGTTATTCCCTAATGAATATTTATAATTTAACAACATTCCTTTACCTTCCTTTGGTTGATAGGTGTAAAAATTCAATCTAATGATAATCTACATATTTGTGCTCAAAGTCTTAAAAAGTATAAATTTGATCGGTAAGTTAACATTTTAATTTCTAAGCGGTTTTTAAACAATAAGAATTTTGCGTGCTGCTGTCATTACAAGAAATATTGATCATTAGTCTTTATTTAAAAGCACTATTGTACTAATCAACCTTTATGACTTTTCTCCTCATCACATAAATTGTAGGACGTTTGTTTCTGATTACTGATTATACTCCTACTACCTCTACCACTACGGGATTTGAATTGACAATTGTATCTGTGTGCTAATGTGGTATGGCAGCTCGAACTGATGTACGTACATACGAAGTTCTACGTTGTTACTGACTGACTGAGGACATTTGAATGTAAATTGGGTTGCATGAATTCTGATGAGTAAATAACTAAATAAGTATTTCCAACTGTCGAAGTATTTCCTTTTGAATTTTGTAGTATGTATCATGGTGATAAATTCCAAGCTCTTCTTCGCCTAACTCTGTTCAATTACAACCATTTGAGATCATTCAGCCTTAAAATTACGATGTCTCACTAAATGTAGGTTCATTCACTTAATTGTGAGTCATAATTTTGTATTAATAATAAATACTAACTGGAAAGGATTGCCCAGGATAGAGTTGGATGGAGAGTGCTGGTGGGTAGCCTATTCTCCTCCATGAGGAGCGTATTCGAGATATCCGTCTACCAACCAAAGGGATTTACTGCTCAGCAGTTCGTTCCGCCCTACTTTATGGCTGTGAAACATGGCCGGTAAGAGTAGAGGATATTTGTAGGTTACTAGTATTCGATCATAGGTGTATTTGAACCATTGCTCGTATATCTCGGGACCACCGAGTAAGTAATACAGTTGTTAGGAAACGGCTACTAGGTAAGTATGACAAATCAATTGATGAAGTAGTGAAAATTCACCAGTTGAGATGGGTGGGACACGTGTTACGTATGTCCAACCACCGAATGCCCCGACGTGCGATGTTTTATGGTGTAGGAGTAGGTTGGAAGAAAGCTAGGAGCGGCCAGATGAGAACGTAGCACAAATCCATGAAGTCACTGACAAGTGGACTGAGCCATGTTGGTATGTGTAGACTACCTGGTTGGGATCCGCGAGATGATAGCAACCGACGGTTAGAGACTTTGAATGACATTAGTAATATAGTTATTTCAGTTTATGTGTTATTCGACTTTTTCTCAGGTTATTTATTGTCATGGATTAATTGTATCCCATTGAGTTTTCCTAAGTTTTTACAAAATCTATACAAGATCATTTGGTGAGATTATAATTTATGGACGACCTTTGAACAACTCTAGACTGACCTTGAAAGTGTCCACCTAAAAACCAGGATCTAATGTTTTACAGCTGATAGTTAGGGTTGGTAATCAGATATAGGTTTTTCATCACAAACTGACATCAGTGGAGTTCAACCAGGTCTGTTGTGAGATATCAACTCACTGAAGACAATCGTGGACGGTGGCGCAATTTCATGGATTTGTTAAAGTTGGACATTAACATTGTTAGATGCCGGCTCAGTGGTCTGATGGTTAAGCGCTCTCGCGCGACACTGATAGATCCTGGGTTCGAATCTCGCGGTTGGGGGCGGGATCGTGTTCGTGCATTGCTGAAGAGTCCCATACTAGGACGAAACAGCCATTCAGTGCTACCAGCTTTTCCATGGTGGTCTAGCTTCATTCAACTCATGATTTCAACTAGTGAAATCAGCTATAATTGCCAAAACTTCTATTTAACCAAATGGATAAGTGAATTTCGCGCCAAAATTCAAAATCTGTTATCGTGAATCTGATTCATTCGTCCAATAAATGATAATCTCGTCGATTATTTTCTTGATGAATAAGCTCATTCTTATCCTTTCTTCTTTTTTTTTCTCTCTCACTATAGTTCATGCATTAGAACCTATTATCCTTTATTAACCAATGAATCTTATATATGGATTAGTCTTGATATGAATAAATTACCATCATTATTGAAACATGGTATTCTCATGAAATATTCTAGATTATTTTATTCTCAAAACCATAATTGGTTATATTCAATTATGAATTATGAAATTGGTCAATCATTATGTACACTTATTCTATGGTCTAATCAATTTACACTAGACTATAATACATCTTGTTGTGATCAATTGAATTATGAAAGAAAGTAAGTTACTTTCATAGTCTTACATATATATGTATTCTTACTAGAAACTAAATTGTTTCAACCCAAATCAGTTATAATCGAATCCAGGACTATAGGTTTCGCGCTCAAAGTTTTAGTGGAAAATCGTGACCAGTGGATTTCAACCATGTCATGTGTGAGATAGTTATCTACCACAGAGAGTTGAAAAGAGTCGCGTAATATCGTGTTTTAGTTGAAATGAGGTATCAATTGTTATAACTTGTGAACTTGTGTGCCCTGTTTATTGTATAACGCAATGATACCGTCAATCAGAGAGCAGCGAACAATCGACCGAACCAGTGACGCATAAGACACCTGCGAGCAGCCTAGAGTCCTGATTAATCCTGCTTTCCGTCTAGCTCAGCCAGTTGAGTCCAGGACACCAATCTCAGCCTCTGCAACATGAATCATTTATTTTAAACATACAGGGTTTATATACCAATCAAACAGACCACAACGTACATTTGTAAAATATTTGACCAAAAGTGGCTGTGAACGAGAAAGGTAGTGATTAACAGACAGGGAATAATTCAAGAATGATAAGTCGTATAATAATAGTTCATAGGTCAAAATAAAACTCATAATAAGACGGACGTGAATATGAACAGTTTAGTTACATAACAATTACACGATAAAAATATAATCATAGCATTGTTCCATAAACGGATCCCAGAAATTACCATTCATTATTCTTATCGGGATATAACATCAATATCGTTGAATGCTAGCTCAGTGTTCTAGAGGTTAAGCGTTCGTGCTCAAAGCCGAAGATCTTTAGTTTGATTCCTGTTAGTGGAGTTGTGGGTTGGTATCACTTAGGAGTTTCACACTAGGACGAAACGGCCATGCAAGACTTCCAGGTTTTTAGTAGGAGTCTAACTAACTTTGAAAATTCTATGAACAGAACACTAAAATCGAAGGTGCCTTCTCAGTTCCTAGTAATCTACCAGGACGCACAAGATTACTCTTACTATGTATTAGGTGAAGAAATTAGCATCAATTCAAATAAACTTACCTTATGTATATGGAAAAGATTAATTTAACCCCGTCGTTTACCTTTTCCACCACAACTGAGTCGTTTCATTCCTAGTTCTGATCATTCTCCTTTCGCCTTCATCATGATTTGCCATCCGTTGCAAGACATTCTTCTTATTCTTAATTGCATGATGTCCTTATTAATTATGATTCTTAGTGTTCTTCTTCTTCTTCTTATTATTATTATTCTTCTTCTTCTTCTTCTTCTTCTTATTATTATTATTATTAATTATTGTTATTATTATTATCATTACTATTATTATTATTACAACAACTACAAAACAACAATTCCTATCTTTCATGGTTTAAATCATCAATCGATCTGGGTTAGACCACCATTGAAAACCTGAAAGTACTGGACGGCCATTTCATCCTAATATTGGACTACCTAACAGTGCGCATCCACAATCCTGGACACAGGGATTAAATTTAAGACTTTCGGGCTCGTGCGCAGACGCTTAAACTCTAGACCAATGAACCGGCATCCAACTGTGTTAATGTTTAACTTCAATCAATCCATGATCTTGCGCAACCGTTCAGCATTTGACTGTGGTGGATAAACTGTCTCACACCCGACACAGATTGGACTCCACTGGTCACGGCATTTCAGGATTATAATCTACAATCTAAACTATGATTTAAGGTTGGGAATGCTTGTTAGTAGTTAGAAATAATGATCTAGAAGTGAGTTGAAGAGTGCTGTGTCATCCCGAAAGGATGAATCCTCTTGCAGTTAGTGCTGTGTGCTTTGAAATATCAATGACTTTGAAGTTACTTTTAACAATGTATAAATCATGATCTCTATATTTTAGTCTCACTGTGTTTATCAATTTAACGTTCTTAATCACTAAGTATCAGTAGATTTTACTGATACCTTACTTTGCTCCTAATGTGTTATGTTGTATGCTGCTTATATTTGCAGATATAAGTAGTATGTAGCACCAGTCGGAAGTGCAATGTTTGTGAGCAAAAGGTTGAGAAGATTGATATGAAAAGCAAGGAGAAGGAAACTGAAAGCAATTAAGATAACAATAGGAATGAAGGAACAATGAAACTTATGAGAGACAATTCAGAGATGATGTGCGAATGATGTATTTGATGTATATTTTTCACACTTTGTTAAACCATTGTGCGATTGTGCTTTAAACAGCAAATTGCTTTTCACCACTTGAGTTCTTGTTCACTACACTAATAAGGTAAATGCTATCTGTCATCGCTTTCTGAGTTGTATTGTGTATAGAAGACACTGACCAATATCACGTTTTAAAATGACCGGTCAGAATTCTAATTTTGTCTGTTCCTCGTCTACCATTCATTCCATGGTCTGTTGATCCAAACCTGACCCAGCGTACGCTTGACCAATACCGTTGACCTTGAGCCAACTCACTTAAGCTCCTATCAATTCGATATCCTCTAGCTTTTCTCTATGCCTTTCCTTGGGCTTCAAAAAGTCAGTAACCAGTTTCTCTTATTTCTATGGTTCAAACAGACTTGGATTCACATACAAATATGCTGGACGGCATTACATCATAAATTGAGAAATTAATAAATATAAAATAAAATTTGGTTTAATAATAACTTGATAAATGTTTCCAATAGCTCCAGCTTCTACAATATTCTTCCAGTTATAAAGATTTGTACTCTAAGATCACACAAAAACATTGATACAACGAGTCACCAAATAAATATACGCTACATAAATCATTCGATTTGTGTGAGGACTGGGATACTGTCCGGGTTCCCAAACCGAAGCACGTGACTTTCCTAAGTGACCACACTCGGCGCCTTCGACCTAAAGGTCTGATCCAAAAGGCAGTGGAGCAACGTCAGGAGATGCATTAGTGTGGTGGCCGGTGACCTCCAATGAGTTCATACTACCATTTGTTCCCTCAGGGTATTGAAGTCCATGTACATCATTGGTTTGGAATCAGAGTTTTCCACCCCCCTAGGTGGATCCTCCATACCCACCAACCCGGTTAAAGCACCGGACATTCGCTTTTCGTTTTCTCAATTTCGTGATCACCACCCCGTTAGCGAAGCAGTGACCAGGACTTCCCTGGCAGTGATCAACCAAATGTTATCTTAGCTCTGATATATTAGTACATTCAGTAAAGTGTTCATTCGTTTATCATCAAATTTCGTTTTTTTCTTTCCCTCCCTAGATGTTCACGGCAATATTCCCGTTTCATTGAGATAATAGTACGGATTTTCACCAAGTTGTTTAACAAAACCATTCAAATGAGCTATACCTTATTGTTAATTAAATACCAATATGATACGTCAAAGAAATCATCTACATTCTGTACAAATTGTTTAAATAAGTTATCCAATACTACCAATACTACAACTACTACTACTACTACTGATAATAGTAGTAACATCAGTACCACAAATCATTCTTCCATGCTATATGTCCACCATTCGAAAATGTTATCATTGTCAACTTTTGTACCAGATCCTAGTCTAGTTATATTTTGTGCTATACAATTATTAATTTTAATGTTATGTTTAATTACAGTACCGCATAATCATCATAGTGATAATAATTATGATTTTGGATGCTGTACACCTCATGTGAATAAATCATCATCTCAATTATCTTCATGTAATACTATTCAATCAAATTATCATACTATTACTACTACTAGGACGACTACTAATACAGCCATTAGTAGTAGTTGGTTACCGAATGATTTAAATTGTAAAATTATCCCTACATTAGGCTTATTTTATTTAGATAAGAATGAAGAAAATTATACATTGACATTATCATCAGCAAATCTCTCATCATCTTCATCATCTCCATTCATATTATATAATTCCACAAAAGAATTAATGAACTATCTGTCACCATCAACAGATTACTGTCAAATGAATATACTTTATCGTTATATTGAAGTGAGTATATTATGAACGATATATACAGATTTCTTTCTTTTATTTTCAATATTTAAATCGAATGTGATTGAATAAAATAAGTACAAGCTTATTTCGATTGAATAACAGTGTAAATGATTAGATGGTAGTTGGAGGTAGTCGACAGGGAACCCTGGACCCGGGTTTCGTGCTACTTGGCACTCGTCAGCAAGGTGTACCTGTAATCTTGAGGGAACTGGTTCTCCCTGACGGATTCGATCCCGTGTCACCCAGCTTCACAGTCAGAGATGTTATCGTTGAGCTATCCGAGCCGCGACCGACGTCCTGTAGGACTGAGATGTCAGTATTGAAATTGGGGAGATTGTTACATTTCATTGAAATCATGAATCGATCCAAATTAGACAACTATTTAAAACCTGGAAGTAGTGGACGGTCGATTTGTCTTAGTATGAGACTTCTTAGGAGTGCACGTTCGTAATTCCGTGATCGGGAATTAAACTCGGAACCCGTGGTCTCGTGCACAAATGCTTAACCTCTAGATCACCTGTTTCTGTTTGGGCACCCGGGGAGTATCCCAGTCCTCACACAAATCGAGTGATTTGTGTGGCGCATATGTATATGATACCTCCTTGTACCAATGCTTGTGTTTAAATAAATATATAAATAAGGTCACTGAGTCGTGACCTAGTGGTTTACAAGTTTGGTGGGTTGATTGAAGGTAGACTTTTACATCACTAAATCTCAGTTCATTGGTCTAGAGATTCGGCATCCATGAGCAAGCCTGAATGTCTTGTGTTCGATTCTTGGGTACGAGGTGGTGCACACCTACTTTTGAGGAGTTCCACACTAAGATATAACGCCGTCCAGTAATACCAGGCTTTTGATTATTATTTAACTCAGATCTGTTCGTGATTTCAATGATATTTGTGATGTTAGAGTGATGCATAAAAGATTTTGCTTCTACTTTGAAAATTGGATTTAGCTGATTCAAATTAAGTACTTTAACACAGTATCTTAACGCAGAAACAAATACATTTGCTCTTTTGATAACACTGTCCAATCACTAAGCATGTAGTATGGTAACAATTCATTATTGTTAGGTATCCAGTACTGATGTTTTAAAGCATTTAATGGGCGAAACTGACAATTTCCTGGTATTGTGAGTTTCATATGTGAACGATTCTGATTTTAAAGTCGCTGATGAAGGATCACTTCAAGTCGTTACTTCTGATTTGTAGTTCGCATTTGCAAAAATTCACTGGTATTCGAATATCTTTACTGAGCAGCCGTATTAATCAAGACCCGAAGCTAACATCAAGCGGTATTGATAATGAGCATCAAGAGTTTGTCCTTGTCTTTTCAGTCTCTATCAATGAATCTTTTAAGTAGTCTCAGGCCTCTGTGTGTTTAGCAAGGAAAATGTTATACAGGGGTCTCATTGTCATTAAATGTTGGAATTATACACTATTCGTCTAGCTCACAGACTCATTACGGAAGTCATCAGTTAGCTAATAGTTTGTACTTGACCGACTAAATATGAGTAGGGGAAATGGAATTCAAATTTGTGACTTGATGATTTATAACTGAATGGGATCAACTAATTAAAGCGGTGGCTTAGTGGTTAAGCTTTTCGACTTTCATCCAAAAAGTTCCAAGTTCGAGCCCCACTACACGTATTTTGGTTCGCGTAATAGGGTAGTAATGTCATTAGTGCTTCTTGGGGAACATTACGATTTAATACATTTGTTGCATTGTGACTGATTCTCAGCCTCATTTGGTTTAACACAAGAATAAGGTCATATAAGTCGGTATTCGGATTGGCAATTTTCTGATGTGATAATTAACCGGGAAAAATGCATAGCAGTTTGAAAACTCAAATTCCTTCTAAACCTGTGTCCCGGGTTCGAGTTCCGTGTGCGGGATCATCGATGCTCACTGCTGAGAATTCCCATACTAGGAGAAAATGTCCGCCCAGTGCTTCGAGGTTTTCAATGGCAATCTAGCTTTGACTGACCGGTGAATCCCGACTGTAGCTCCTACCTTGACGTGGTGGTTGGGCTTGCCTATCGTGACGAATCAATCGAGCCATACTGGAACAATCGCTCCTCGATGTCTTACCATGCCAGAGAGGTCCGTTGAAAAACGGTCAGACTAGGAGCAGCAAACCTAAGGTCCGAAGGCGAAGTTGTAATGCTGACTGTACAGAGGTGTGACGGCAGTAAGGTGTTTCCTTCAAACAACCAGCATGACAGCGATACTGCCTTCCCACAAAGAGGGGTGGGTGGGGTTAGAAAAGGTCGATCCTAAAAATGCACACCTCACCTTATCCCACTGATATCCGTCTCCGGTGGTAAGGTCTCAACAAATACGGAGCTAACACGAAAATTACCAACAAAAATGTCGTGTGTGACCGACCTCAAGCAGTTGTCGCCTGGGCACTGCGTTCACGCCCTCAGGTCACTAGGACCACCTCCAATCCAATTTCTTTTTCAGGTACCCCCAGAAGAACCCTTCCACGATGTGGGCAACCGGGAGGTGATAACCGCTTTCATACCTCTATCAGCACTCAAGATCACTGTATTCATAATATAGAGTTTTCGAAACATTCTTGACTTACGGCAGAATACATGGATTTTCGACTATTGATAGAATGTAAGAAATATGTTTCATCCCATTTGGAAATCATCACCAATAGGGTAATCCAAATTCTTTTCTAGTAATGATATATCCGAAACTTTATCATTATGGGGTTGCAAGCCAATGTTTGTATAGAGAAGCACATTAAAAAAATCTATGTAATGAGATTATCAGTTTGGAAAAACTAAATAGTCTATATCAAACTATCTTATACGTAACCAGATTGACACTCAGAAGTATACAAATTAAGTATTAAAAGGGGTTTTTATGGATATTATACTCAATATTATATGGAACTCTTCAACAGTGCACATCCACGACTCCACACCAAAGGGACTCGAACTCAGTACGTTCGGTATCACATGAGAACACCTAAACTCTAGACAACTGAACGGGCCCTGTATCCAATGATGTTATTGTCTAACTTCAACCAATCCATTGATCTAAAGGTTAAACGTTCACTCACGAGACCTACTCACTGCCTTCTCGTGGCGGGGGCGTTGTTTACGAAAATGAGAGGACGAAAAGCGAATGTCCGGTGCTTTAACCGGATTCCAAACCAATGGTGCACATGGGCTCCGGTATCCTGCGGGAACAAATGGCGTATGAACCAATCGTTGGTCACCGGCTACCATGGGACTGCATCTCCTCACGATGCTCCACTGCCTTGTGGATCAGACCTTTAGGTCAAAGGTTCTGGGTGTGGCCCCCTAAGGAAACCACCTGCTCCGGTTTGGGCACCCGAACAGTATCACAGCCCTCACACATATCGAATGAGATTTGTGTGGCGTATATGTATTTGGTGCCTCCTTGTTCCAATATCTATATGTTAAAATAAATAATAAATAAATAAGAGACCAATACATCGTGAGTTCAAATCTCACTAGGCGGGATCATGGATATGCACTCCTAAAGAATCCTACACTAAGATGACACAGTCATCCAATGCTTCCATAATAGTTTAACTTCAATTAATAAGAACGAATTATTACTTTCATTATTATCTTTTTTTTTTCTTCTTTAGTATTTCACATGTGAATTAACTCGTCTTCTATTATGGCTTGAACAAGGTAAACCAGCTGGTTTAAAAATCAATATTCATTTATCCTATTTAATGGGACAATTTTTTTTATATCATATATTAGCATGGCGTTCTTATGTTACATTTATTATTTATTTATTAATTGATTTAATGAATCAATTAAAACAATTCACTGGAATTGATTCATTCAATAATCATAATCACGATCATCATCATCATCATTATCATTATCATTATCATTATATTTTAATCAATATTATAACAATCATATGTTTATTAATGAGTACAATTTACTTAGTAACAACATTATCTATATATCAATATAAACACTATTATCCCCCTCTTCCTCCTCCTCCTCCTCGTCCTCGTCCTCGTCCTCCCCACTATGTTTATATTGTATCATTATTGAGAATGTTTATGATTTATATATCAACAATCATACGTTTATTATTTAGTTTATTAATTTGTTTATTATTAGATACAATTGAATTGATTACATTGCATTTAACAAGCTTTTATATATATGCTACACAGTAAGTTCATTTCTATATTTATAATCTATATTGTCTTTTATTTATTTTGTTTTATCAGATGGGGTTTTATAAAGATTTTAATAATTTAATTAGTTGAAATTATGAGTGAATTCAAACTAGACCAACATGAAAAACTGATAGGTCCTGAGTTCAAATCCCGTGTGTGGGGGGCGATCGTGGATGCACACCGCTGAGGAGTTCCATACTAGGCGGCACCAGATACATATGCGCCACATAAATGTCATTTGATTTGTATGAGAGCTGTGATACTGCCCAGGTGCCCAAACTGAAGCAGGTGGTTTCGTTAGGGGACCACACCTGGAACCATTTGATCTAAAGATCTAATCCACTAGGCAGTGGAGCATCGTAAGAAGATGCAGTCCCATGGTAGCCGGTTACCAATAATTGGTTCACACGCTATTTATTCTCTTAGGATCCTGAAGCCCATTTTCACCATTGGTTTGGAATCAGGTTTTTTAACTCCTTCAAGTGGACTCTCCATATCCACCGACCCGGTTAAAGTGCCGGACATTCGCTTTTCGTTCTCAATTTCTCAAACAACACCCTTTCCACAAGAAGACAGTGAGTAGGACTTCCCTGCCAGTGGCTATATACGCGTGGCCATGTGAGAGTGTTTCAAGAGGGAGAGTGGGCTTTCTCTACACTCGGCCGTACTAGGGCATTTGGGGGCAAGTATGTAGTGAACAAGAACACGAATGGGGACAATCGAAACAGCTAACCAGAGCTTCCAGGTTTTCCATGGTGGTCTAGCTTCAATTGACTCATAATTTTGTTTTGTCAAAAAAGGGTTTTTCTGTAGTAATTTTAATAGTTGAATTCATGAGTCAATTGAAGTTAAACTACCATGTAAAACCTGGAGGTACTGGTTGACTGTTTCGTCCCACTGTGGGACTCCTCAGTAGTGCGTATCCACGATCCCTCACGTGGGACTCGGTCTCGCATGCGGACGCTTAACCTCTAGACCATTGAGCCGGTCAGCATCCAACGGTGTTAATGTCTAACTTCAACTAATCTAAGAAATTGTACCACTGAACACTATTGTCTTCAGTGAGTTACTATGAGGACGGTTCACGGATGAACTTGAGGAAGCTGTATAAAGCTCAGAAACAGCCGAAGATATTCTACCCAATCACCTTTTGGAAGAATATTCTAGAATCTCTTCGTGTAGCTTCTCGATTGAACAATGCCAATAACCCCCCATGTGTGGGTTGGAGAACTATAATGATGCTTTCGTTTTTACTAAAAACTATAAATACTTGACAGTTTTGTACCATAATTGACACTGTTTTGAAATATCATTCCTTTCATTTGTTTTCTCATTTGCGACTTGAAGGGTTCTAGCGCTCGAGTTGGTCAAGTTGTACGCAATATAATAAGAATCTAAGCACTAGATATAACAATAGACCGTAGGTCCTGAGTTTGAATCTCACGAGGCGGGATCGTGGATAAGGAGTGCCATACTAGACCGAAACCGCTGTCCAATGCTTCCAAGTTTTCCATAGTGGTCTAGTTTCGACTGACTTATGAATTTAACTATTAAGTTTTATTTCGTTCTGTTTTTTCTATTTTAGAGAAAGTATTTCTCTTATTCAATTCATTTTTGTATTGGTTGTTTAAAGGCAGGTAATGTCGTAGCAATCTGCACAAGATGCATATATGTCTATAATAGACTGATCAATTACTGTCTTGAATGTCTATGGAAAGATTCAAATACCTACTTACTAACGCTGTTACTCCTCGTGGAAGGGCATAGGCCGCACACCAGTATTCTCCATCCAACCCTGTCCTGGGGGAATCCTTTCCAGCTCGTTCCAGTTGTTATCCATCCTTTTCATACCTGATTCTATTTCCCGACGTAATGCGTTCTTTAATGACAGTTACTGGTCAATAGGATTAAAAATGGTTGCTCACTATAGCAAATTGGTTGGAATCAGGTATGTAGATTATTGCATACCCGGTCAGTGGTCTGAAGGTTAAGCGCCTACCGCGAGACCGAATGACCCTGGGTTCGATACTCGAGGTAGTCGTGGATAACAGTGTCCGAAGGGTCCCCCAAACCAAAAAGAAACAGCTGTCCAGTGCTTCCTGATTATCCTGGTAAAAGTAGTCAGTGATGTAGGCTGTGAATTTGGATTATTATTTATTAATTACTCGACATAAATCAGTAATCGTTAGACATCGTATTCCTTGAGAAATTTAAAGACCGTGCACAGTTGAAGTATCCAAAGTAAGTACCCATCATCTTGGATCAAATTAAAGTCGTAACTTTTGTGGCAAATCGATTGTAGGCAGGTGCGTAAGAGATTTCCTGAATCTTGATTTATCATATGGAAATGTTTACAATGATAGAGAGAGAGAAAGGAAGCCTATTCTCACTACTTCTGAATATACTAGGTCATTCATGAAGTCATATGATTACGGTACATATATTACGTTTTTCACACCTCTGGATTCACCATTACCTCCAGCCTAAAATATTCGATCGATGATTGAATACTTTAGTATATTGTTCGTCGTGTGTACTATGATCGTTGACCTGTGCAAGCTATGATTGCATGGTTTAAACACTTAATATACAACCATTGAGGACCCAGTCATTCGACCTTAATGTGAACAAACAGATTGTATAAGTGATAATTATGTAATTGAGTTTTGTCATTACTCATTGGCGAAAACCACCGCCTATACACATTCACTGCATTCAATTGTTTACAATTGAGTCCTACTGTTAAGTCCTACCCTAACCGAAATAAGTACTATTTCAGTACACATTATTGATGTTATGTAGAGATTAGTTTCCAGTAGGTTTTACTGGAAATCTCTCTTGACCTGCGTAGTCAATCTAGTTTAGAATGAGATGAATTTTTGACGGTTACGACGAAAACAGAAACAACAACACTATCTGACAGGTACACTATAGTTCGAATTCGTTAAAGTTTGAAGAATGTAAAGTATGAGAGTCTGATACAGTAGTGACTAAGTAGTAATATGTTCCCGACAATAGCACTTTAGTCTCTTGTTAGTAATAGGATTTAATTGTAACCAGGATTATTCTGAGCGCTGTTAGAAGCATGAGGTGGTATGTTGCTTCCCGGTTGTCCACACCGTTGAAATATGATTTTTCTTGGGAGACCTGGAGAAAAAAATGGATTGGTGATGATCTCAGCGACCTAGGAGCGTGACCGTAAAACCCAAGGTATAACCTTTTAAGGCCAGTCTTACACTCCATTTTGTGATTAGTTGTTAATGTAATACCTCCGTAATTCGTAAGGCTTTATCTCTGGAGATTGAAATCCTTGAGACAAATTGTGGTTGATTGTTTTAGTTCCTTACTTCATTTATGAGAAGGCAACATCGCTGTTGTATAAAGAAAATTACATACCACTGCCACACCCATGTGCAGTCAGCAGTAAGATTTCACCTATACACTTTACTTTTCTCATTTCTAATCTTTCTTCAACCGATCTGGTTGGTATTGTAGAAATCTCCAACATTTCCGATAACAGTACAGTTGCTTTAAAATTATTTATAATATTAGCCGTGACTGGTAGAGTTCAATCATATCCATATTGAAAAACGTCACTTATGATACTCTCGAATTCCAACTCAATAATTCAGTAGTAATCTCGTGTTTATTTTGATGTTCGATCTTCTATGTGGTTCACATAACTGATAAGTCTAAAGTAGAATGAAACAGGCTGTTCAGTGGTTCGTGACTCTCAACTGAAATCAATTCATGCTGAAGGCTAACTTATGGAATAGTTTAGTGTTCTACTTTTTTACAGTAATCCTGTCCAGTTTGTTTTTCTGCTATACAATTTTTTGTCGATATCATACTTAACTTTAAGCTTTCTGGAATGTCGACAGTGAAATTCCACTTCATAAACTTCGGTTCAAACAACACCACTCAAAAAGTGTTTCCTAAGATTGGGTACATAAACCTGTTCTTTGTAAAGTATTTACCTTAAATGGAGCGGCGGCTAAATGGTTTATACACTCACATTTTAACCGATATTAGATCGCAAGTTTGAACCCGACTGTACTTAATTTGGTTTTGAAAGTATCAACGATTCTCCCAAAAGCTCAAGACTTAAACTTGCAATTATACATTTAACCCTTAGGTGTTCTGTTTCGTCTTGAACAAACTCAGTGATACCCTGGATCATGAAACTGGGTGACCCACGTTCTTATCCCCCTGGGAGCATCATTTGCCTCAGGGTTGGCCAGTACGCCTTACTGACGAGGGCCGACTAACATGAAAGCTAGGTTGAGCAGGATTTCTCTTAATATCTCTAACCATCTTATATCATTACCAATTTGTTTTGCAGATATCCTTCTGTAGGTATATTAGACGCTGTGATCATACATTGTAGAAGTGTCTAATGGTCGAAAATGCTGTGATTTACTCATCTACAAACTTATATCATTGCATACAGTCAAATAGCGTAATTAGATGGTGGTTGGAGCTAGTCGACAGGAAACCTTGGACCCGGGTTTCGTGCTACTTGGCACTCGTCAGCAAGGTGTACCTGTAATCTTGAGGGAACTTGTGCTCCCTGACGGATTCGATCCCGTGTCACCCAGCTTCACAGTCACAGACGTTACCACTGAGCTATCCGGGCCGCGACCAATCGATCTGCACTAATAAGGATCTGACACACATAACATTGGTCACCACTCATTGATCAATCAATTGTGAACAGTGTAATTGCATATGTAAGCTTCTCTATGAATGCCTTCACTGGATTTTTCGAAATGAATGATTCAATGGTTTCTAGATGATATGAATAAAAATTGGTCTCAAACATATTCACTACATTTCTCTCTTAACAAAAATGTCAATATTTGTGTATACTCTTCAGTGATTGTATCTAAGGTTTATATCTCGTCCCCATTAGATCAATGTAATTAGCTAGATATAATCACTTACTGTCACCAAAAATATCCGCTTGCATATTCTATATGTATATGTATTAATGTTACTTTCTTCTCATTTGAATCTCCTTATTCACTTTTATTATAGTTTACTTCGTTTACAATTGAAAACAATAGCTGCTTCATGGCGTCTATGTCGTAATAGTTCTAAATGGAATCCATTACGTAATCGTGTTGATAAAATACCGGATATGTATCTTGATTCTAATGAATTTTTCTTATCAGTTAGTTCATTACAGAAGAAAATTTCATCATCCTCCTCCTCATCATCTCCATCATCACCGACAATATTATCGACGGCTACTACTACACCAGGATTTTTCAACGATAAAAATCACTACCAAAAACAACAATCAGAAAGATCAATTGTGCGACAAGAAAATGTATTGTATAAATTTATTTCTCATAAAAAAGATTCTGATATTATTCTATGTGATCAATTAACTAAACAAACATGTGGAGTATATCTGGATCGTTTATTAGTTTCCACTTTATTGGGTCTTGCTATTGGATTATGTTTATTTACTACAACAATAGCATTTTATATTACATTTGCATCTGTAAGTGAACATTATGTATAGTTGTATTGAGATGATAGAGATGATTTTGGTACAGTTTTGTTCTCTGAGCTGGATGGTTTAGTTGTAGAGCATTCATCATACTTTTGATTAGTATCATCAAGATAAACTTCGGTTTTGAAGTGAAGTATTCAAATCTCTTCACATTTGAATAACAGTTTGTCACGTTGACCTCAATTTTGTTTTTATTTATTTGTTTGTTTGAAGACATGAATACTGGTACAAGGGGGCACCAGATACATATGCGCCACACAAATCTCATTTGATTTGTGTAAGGGCTGTGATACTGCCCAGGTGCCCAAACCGAAACAGATGGTTTTCTTAGGGGGCCACACCCCGAGCCTTCGACTTAAAGGTTTAATCCACAAGGCAGTGGAGCATCGTAAGTAGATGCAGTCCCATGGTAGCCGGTGACCAATACGCCATTTGTTCTTTTAGGATACTGAAGCCCATGTTTACTATTGGTTTGGAATGAGGGTTTTTCAACTCCCCTAGGTAGATCCTCTGTATCCACCAACCTGGTTAAAGCACTGGACATTCACTACTCGTCCTCTCAATTTCGCAAACAACACCCCCTCCACTTGAAGTCAGTGAGTAGGACTTCCCTGACAGATGCTATATACGCGTGGCCATCTGAGAGCATTTGGAGAGGAAGAGTGGACTCTCCCCATTGTCGGCCGTACCGGGGCATTTGGGGGCCCAGTCTTGAATGGTTACTGTTAATGTTTAATCTGCTATTATTGTCACTTGATTTTAATTGTATCTTCCTTTAATCCAATCTTTTGCCCTACACTTGTCCATGATCATCAATTAACAGTCAAACGTCGTAATATATCTTCGCTTATATCAATACATATGAACATTTTTGTATACACATTCAACCGGAAAACTATAGATAAATATAGATCAAATGGAGATATAATCAAAATAAAGAGGCAGATAGTGGCAGGTTAAACGTCAATGGTGATCAATCAAGATCATAATTGACAGAACAAGGTTTTAGTCAAATGTAGATAGACTCGAATACTTCACTTTTAACTGAATTTTGTTCTAATAACCCTCGCCAGAAGAATAATGTTTATATCCACGATCAAACCATCCAACCTTGATTCTTGGGAGATGATAGTATTGCTAGAACTATCAGAAGATGGAGTTGATCTGAAAAATGTGATGTATTCGCATTATACATTTCGAACAATCTGATCACATATATTCTTGTCAGGGCGTTTTGATATGGAAATTAATAAAGGTCGATTAAATGAAAGTTCAAGTATCAAAGGTAACAAAGGGGAGAGGAACATTTTACATTGTATAGAAATTGTCACATTATCCTAGGTCATAAAATGACTTAAGGATTACTAGGGTAAATTTAAGTTTACAAAAAAGCTTATGACTTAAGTCTATATCGAGGCCATCCGCACAGGATGTACATATGCCAACAAGAGACTGATCAATTACAGTCCTAAATAACAATGGCAAGATACAAGTAAAACAACATCAATTGAATTTAAGTTACGACAAATTGTTTTTGTACACAAATGCGCGGGAGGGGGTAAATTTACAAATAGCCAAGGCTTCAATAAACTTGAGAATTCATCCATGACAACGTTTTAAAAGCTGTATTAGTGACAATTTTGTGCACCGTTTCAAATATACATGTGTTTCGCTATCGATGAACTTAGTTTTCTACCCTCCACCGTGATCGGACTGTTTGACACTAATTGGTTTTGAAGCCATCTAGGCACATGTTCAATGATCCTTAATTACATTGTTCGATTACTCCTCCCTATGTATGTTTGTTCACACACATGTAAATTGGTGAATACAATGTATAGCGCAAATACATCACATTTTTCAGATCAACTCCATCTTATAGCTCTATCGAAATTTATAAAAAAGACCAATTGCCTTAGATAATATTGAGTTTTACCGTTAAAATTTCAACTAAAGCTTATAGATATATTCATCTCACTTTCCAGATACATTCAAGCTATTCTCTGTGTATCAGTGTAGGGGGTTGTGGAGATTGTTAAGTTTTTGATTGAGACAATGAATATTAGATCATTGAAAACCTGGAAGCACTGGATGGCCCTTTTGTTCTAGTGTGGGACTCCTCAGCAATGCTCATCCATGATCCGTCACGCGGGATATGTCAGAAAGCTTGTAATAATAACCAATTACCTAGATTGATGTAGACGGAGTGCAGTTCACATCTGTGACTTGATAGTTGATAGTAGAACGCTTTAACTACGAAGTCTCACTTTCTGTTAAATAAACTATTCTAATGTGATGATGTGAAATCTCCAAAAAGTTTGATATAGCTAAACCCTTTTTGATATACAACACTACGTCCCTATAAATATAGATAAGTAACTAGTTTTTTCGGTAAAACGTTTTTGTGCTTTAAAGCAAAGCAAGTATAAACAGATGAATTTGATTTACATGACCACTGGTGACTTGAATTGAAATCTAGTAAGCATTAATCATCTGTTAATGTTTATGTATTCCATTGATTCCGAAATGGAATAATCATCGTTGACTTGAATTCACAATATCAATTTTATAGAATCATGGATAAGTAACATACTATGGCAGGTTTTCGAATTGACAAAGATCATTCTTCAGTCATTCAATTACAACGTAGAACCTGGTACATTAAGAAATCACTTCAAGTTGCCACGGCAAATCACAGATTAGTAGAGGTTGTAACAGTATATTAATGGCAATAAAAAAGATTTGACATGAACGTTATGATTTAAGAAAATATAAGTTAGCGAGACGAAAGAAAACTTGTAAGGTAATGTAGAAACCTAAGATCTATGTGATGATAAAATGTGAATGCACCAGTGAGATTTTGAACGATTTGGAACCATGTCACTATTAGTTATGATAGTTACGCGGACCACAACAGGTAGTCTTTATCTACTTATATGGCCAGTTCAATACTCACTGTCTTCATGGACTGATACCCATGTCTTGGTTTGAAAACTCCGCGTTTTCTCTCAACTCACTCCTACACCATCCTTATGGTTCCAGATTATCCTAACCATATATAAGCCGAAAATGATTCACTTCCCCTTCACTCGATTTGTCATACTTTCTGTCCAACCTCAAAATCACTAATTGGATGATCGCAAATTATCCATGCAATGATTGTAAAACACGTAAGATCGGTTACTAGTACACTCTTACATATAACTTACCATTAAACTTTGATATTGTGTATTTATTGTCGTGCTTAACTTTGCTGGGACTAGTACGTACAATATCACTTGACATGAGCATTGGTCAACATTGACGTATTACTGCCGACTCACTGATATATCACAGGAATATTGGGTTGCATTTGAAATACATTATTATTAACACACGCCATGATTTAATAATCTAGTGAATTGCTTTTTTCTTTGTTTCAAACATTTCGCGATATTACATGGACACCATCGTTTATGAGATATCTGTCTCAGTTGTAGACATGTTTTAATTGACATAGTTTGAAACTTCCTACTAAAACGTTTGGAACCTAATTTAAAGCCAGCCACTCCTGTGCGTAATAGATAGTGTAGTTTATTGATTAGTTGGCAAAATACGTTATTGGGAGTCAGTTACGGCCTAAGTAGCTCATATGTAACTTTTTAGACTATTCACCTTGTGTTGCGCGTTTAAATCCCATAAAAAACATCAGTCTCCTCATGATTGTTTACGAAATTGAGAGGGTGGATAACGAATGTCCAGCGCTTTAACCGGGTTGGTGGACACTAAAGGTTCACCTAGGGGAGTTGGAAAACCCTCATTCCAAACCAATGGTGTACATGGTCTCCAGGATCCTAAGAAAACAAATGGCGTACGAACCTATTATTGGTGACCAGCTACCATGGGACTGCATCTCTTTACGTTGCTCCACTGCCTTGTGGATTAAAACTCTAGGTCTAAAGGCTCCGAGAGTGACTCCCTAAGAAAACCACGTGCTTCGGTTTGAACATCCGGGCAGTATTCCAGCCGTCAAACAAATCGAATGATTTATGTGGCGCATATCTATTTGGTGCTTCCTTGTACCAATGTTTATGTGTTTAAATAAAGTAAATAAATATAAAATGATTCTAGATAAGCTTTGCTAACTAGTATCAAGTAGCACGAAACATAGGTCGAGGGCTTCCTGTTAACTACCTCCAGCTACCTAATATCTTGTCATTACTTATTATTTTTTTCTGGTTGGCTTTTGTTTAGCGAGTTAGTTTTCTACGGGATGGGTTCGCTAATCTCAGTCCCAACCCTTCTCCTTTATCCGGGCTTGGGACTGGCAGTAGTCTCAGAGGGGCTCTTAGCGGAGTTAATATCTCGTCATAGTATATGTAATGTCGAACCAGTCAGCCCTTTTGTTTGAAAAAGTTCGTTCAACACTGCAGGACAAGACAAACATGACATTATTCATCGCTCAATGATCATTCATTTGCATACAGTATAGTTTTATGAAGATTCTTGTGTATAATAAAAAAAATATTTTCATTGTACTATTCTAAACTAAAACTCTTATTGAGGTTATTATCTCTTTTCTCTCTACAGCTAACATTCACTTCACATTGATAGTTACATATTGTTTTTGAAACTATTATAGAGTGAATATAGTGATTATGGAGATTATTAGGTTTTTTTGATTGAGATCATGAATCAATCGATGTTAGATCCCCGTTGGGAACCTGGAAGCACTGGACGGCCGTTTCGTCCTAGTATAGGACTCCTCAGCAGTGCTCATCCAGGATCCCGCTCCCCGCGAGATTCGAACCCAGGACCTATCAGTCTCGCGCCAGGTGCTTAACCAACTAGACCACTGAGCCGGCATCCAATGGTGTTAGTGTCTAACATCAACCAATCCACAAAATTCCATGACCAAGTTCCATTATACTGAGGTAGATACTTATCTCTACCCGACACGGATTAGCTTCACTGGTCACGGCTTCTCACTAGAACTCCGAGAATTCCCTCACGAAGCTGGTCACTAGTGTGCACATGGAAATTATCATTATAGGGGTTGTGGAGATTATTAAGTTTTTTGATTGAGTAAATTAGTTGGTGAACTCAAATTTCCGTCTTCTTTTCTTTCAACAAAAAAAACATTCAATTTTTAGGTTCAATTGGTTTTACTACTGATTAAAAATAGTTTAAAAAGTTTAGTTTGGTTTATTATGGATTTCCCACTGGAATCTTCAATATGCTGGTTATTGAACAGTTCAAATTATCAAAGTAAGTTGTTTCATTTAAATACTTCTATAATTAGAAAGGGTATTTTTGGTGGATAGTATAGTAATTTAATAGTTGAATTCACGAAGTTAGACATTAACACCGTTGAATGCCGACCATCTCAGTGGTCTAAAAGTCAAGTGTTCGCGCGTAAGTCCTAGGTTCGAATCCCGCGAGAGGGACGAAACGATCGTCCAGTGCTTCCAGGTTTTCCATAGTGATCTAGCTTCAATTGACTCATGAATTCAACTATTAAATAATTATCAATATAGGGTTGCGGAGATTATTAAGTTTTCGATTGAGATCATGAATTGGTTGATGTTAGACCACCACTGAAAGCCTAGAAGCACTGAATGGCCGTTTCGTCCTATTATGGAACTCATCAGTAGTGTGCATCCACGATCTCGCTTCATGAGATTCGAACCCAGGACGTATCGATCTATAACTGTATGTTATAAAGTTAGCAATGATTCACATTTCAAAACGGATGTTTTCAATGATGTAGTTTCTTTATCTGGATTAAATTGTTTAATTATACTGAACTTTCATTGTTATTTTCAACATCATCATCAGTTCCTAGTTCATATACAATTGAAAATTTCAATTATTTCATGAATGTAATATAAAGTCGCTTTGATAGGTTTGATTATGACTGATTATCTTTGTTTTCATTTTTCCTTGTGTTCAAGTTAATCGTCTTGTTTAGTTAACCTTTTGCGTTGAAATCTTAAACAATGAGAATACATAGGTCAGGGAATTTTTAGAATAAGGGGTTTTGTGGAGATTGTAGTAAGTTCAATAGTTGAGATCATGAGTCAATTGAAGCTAGACCATCATGGAAAACCTAGAAGCACTGGACGGCCGTTTTGTCCTATTATGGGACTTCTCAGCAGTGCGTATCCAACTAGAAGCTTGAAATTCAAGTCAATTAGCAGTCAATAAACATATTGAAATCAATACAGTTTGTCGACCAATGAAAGGAAATAACGAGATAGGATAAGTGCAAACAAAATTCTAGCAAAACGAAGTTCTTCAGAACAAACTACCAGTAAAAGCTGACTACTGACTTCTATTCAGTTTCTAGGCAGATAGTGTAGCTTAGGTCGGTCTAACGTTACGTGCTCACGTCAGAATTTATCATGAACAAATCAATAGATGTGAAACGAAATTTATAATCGGACTTCTGATTGATGAATTTAAGACATGATATTGATTAACTTCACTTGGTATTGTTTGGCTTGTATCTTCCCATTGAATTTTTTTAAGACTGCAATTGATCAGTCTGTTATTAGCATATGTGCATACTGTGTGTATGCCTCGATATTGCCTTAATTCACAAGCTTTTTGTAAGCAATGATGGATAGTGGCTAGCAGTGGAATCGAGGACGCGCATTTCGTCCTATTTGGGACTCGTCAACTGGATGTACCTGCATCTCAGAGTTGATGTTCACTCTGGGACTCGAACCCAGTACCACCCCATTGCACAAGCAAGTGGTTATAAGGACTCAGCAGCTGAGTGGATAACGCGATGGCGTTTGAAGCGAATGGTACCGGGTTCGAGTCGCAGAGTGAACACCAACAAGTCTGAGATGCAGGTACATCCAGCCGACGAGTCCCTAATAGGACGAAACGCGCGTCCTTGATTCCTCTGGTAGCCACTATCCATCATTGCTTACAAAAAGATATTGATTAACGTTTCGATACACAACAAACACATGAAAAGCTTCACAATGAAACAACCATCAACCTCACCAACACAAAAGACTATCATAATCATACACCTAAGATATAAGTCATCTCCATCACCTTGATAAATATTCGGGTTTGGTTACATTTTGATAATGTTTGACTGATGCAAACTGAACTCTTTTATGATCTGAATAGGTATTCACCTTGTTAGCTTCCTCTTGAAATATTCTTTACAATGTAGAGAGAGGAGTACAGGAGATCTAAGCTCTGCGTACAATTCTACTCTTGAAGTAGACAATAATGTCAGTATGATATTAAGATTACCACTTTATTGTATATTATTTAGCTAAGCTAATTCTGGAAGCACCGCGAATGGACTCAAAATATTTTCCATTTCTACAATTAAAAGTAAGTTTCATCAAAAAATAATTAACATGTTTTCAATAATTACTCAAAGGATCATGGGGGATTTCATTTAAAGTTTATAATTTTCAATTAATTTGCTTTTATTTATTTTTATAGTTGAATTCATGAGTCAATTGAAGTTAGACCATCATGGAAAACCTGGAAGCACTAGACCGTCGTTTCGTCTTAGTATGAGACACCTCAGTAGTGCGAATCTACGATCCTACCCCTCAAGATTCAAACCCAGGATCTATCAGTCTCGTGCGCGTACACTTAACATCTAGGCCACTGAGCTGGTTGGCAACCAACGATGTTAATATCTAACTTCAACCAATCCACGATATTGAGCCGCCGTCCACCATTGTCTTCAGTCAGTTACTACCCCACAACAGACCTGGTTGAAATCCATCAGTCACGGCTTCTCACTAGAACTCCAGGAAATACCTCATGAAGTCAGTCACTAGTGAACACATGATGATCATTATCAGGAGGGGGTTTTATAGAGATTTCAGTGATTTAATAGTTTAATTCACTAGTCAGTCAAAGCTAAACCATCATGGAAAACCTGAAACCCTGGACGACCGTTTCGTCCTAGTATAGGACTCCTCGGCGGTGGATTTGCTGAAGTTAGACTTTAACACCATCGGATGCCAGCTCAGTGATCTAGAGGTTAATCATTCGCGCTCGAGACCGATATGTACTTGGTTCCGATCCCGTGGGCGGGATCGTAGAAAAACTCTATTGAGGAGTTCCATACTAGGACGAAACGGCTGTCTTGTGCTTCCAGGTTTTACATGGCGGTCTAGTTTTAACTGACTGATGAATTCAATTGTAAAATTACTAAAATCTCCAGGATACTCTTCTGATTTTAATTATTTAACATGTTAAGATGCCACTACAGTAAGGCATATTCATAGAAGACATATATAGATAGATTGAAGTGATTAAAATGAACTAAGCCCCGAGTGAAAATTGCAGTCATATATACAACAATAACGTAATAAAGTGGATGGGGAATTGCTCGAAAATATTGGAGATATTACACTTTTATTGAATACTGAAAACAAACATCCAGCTGACAAGTCCCAAATAGGATGAAATGTGCGTCCTCGATTCCATTGCTAGCCAATATTCAACTTTGCATATAAATTAGGTTTCGTTTTATAGCCAGCTATTATCGTACTACTAAGGTAGTCTATATAATAATTATCTGACTATTAAATGTGCCATTCTAATTTTGGTTAGAGATTTTTAATTACTACCTTACGTGCTTTGTCATTTTGTGACTTTGATGATTCATTATGTGCGCTTTGTATGGAGTTTATAGTCTCGCCTTATTGTGTCTGTCATCTAATGCTTTAATTGGTTATTGGTAATTTAACATTTATGCATTTAAAGTACCGGCGACCTTGAATGAACCAATCAAAATCAAGTTGGCAGTTCATTGTTGTTTTTTGTTGTTGCGACAAATAGAAAGGTGTAGTGAAAGATAGTTTATGAGCCGTGAAATTTGGAGGAGGGTGATGATATGATCAATACATCTTCGACCGGAACGAAAACCAGCGTGCTCCTCGTGAGTCAATCTTTCTCGGGTTGTGAACAGTCTACGAAGTATGACGGAAGCCAATAGCTTGGACGCAATCGGAAGTAGACTTATCCTCCGATAGTTGTTGGAGAAACGACAACTATCGACGCATTCCATGACGTTCGTACACTCTCTAGCTCCCAGACCTTTGTAAACAACGTCGTCAGTTCCTTAGCCAGAAAGTCACCACCATCTTTAAAAAGGGCCGGAGGTAAGTCATCTGGACCCGGTGATTTGTAGCGCTTTAAGAGTTGGAGTTCCTTGCGGACTTCCGCCTCATTTGGTGGATTAGTCGTGACCGGCCATGGAGGGCAGGACAGTCTGCCCTTCGAAAAATTCTGCCCATCGTCCAAGACGTCGATGGATGTTAGTGATTGGCATCCCATCATCCTCGCAGATTGTCTCACTCACACCAGACTTCTTGCTGCCAGTGGCTCGGATGAGTTGGAAGAGCTTCCGGTAGTTACCAGATGCAGCTGCTGCTTCCAGCTCATTAGCACGCATCGACCACCAGGCTTCTCGGTCCTTACGCAAGTTTTGCCCAATTTCCTTACGTAACACCCTTCGTTTATGGTCAAACTCACGGTCACCCGGAGTAGACCGACGGGCTTCAATGAGTTGTAAGGAACCAGAAGAAACCCAGTGCTTATAAGCGGGACGTTTCGCAAACCCACAACTGACTGTTCCCGCCATTTTGATGGCGTCATGCAATTGCAACCAATGCTCATCTATACTTTTCGGTGGAGTGGTAGCTAGCCTAGAGGCTAGCTCGGTTCGATACTTATTTGCAACAGAAGTTGCAACCAGCTTGCTAACATCAATCCGTTGATGGCGTTCACTTCGTTGTCCACTGAAAAGTAAGGCAAGATTGGCGCAGACCAAGGCATGGTCAGAGTCCAGATAGGTACTCCAAAAGGAGCGGCAGTCTTGTACACAACCACGCCAGCGGTAGCTGATCGCGATGTGATCAATCTGAGTCCAGGCTTGGGATGCAGAGGGAGGACGCCAGGTGGCACATCGGCGATGACTGTGCCGAAAGTTAGTGCTAGCCAGAAACAGGTTGTGGCCTGTGCAAAGTTGCAGTAGACGGTCCCCGTTATCTGACCTGCGACCAACGAGTCCCCATCGGCCACCTAAACGACTCTCTTCTGTGCCTAGACGCCCGACCTGAGCATTCAAGTCTCCGGCTAGTACTACATTATCTGTCGAACGCACTTTCTGGAGAAGAACAGATAACTGGTGGTAAAACTCATCCTTGATTGCATCCGGGCTGCAATCTGTCGGCGCATAGGCGGAGATGACGAAAAGACATCGTTTCTCACGCCGATTTCTTCTCACTTTGATGGAACTTTCTAATCTAACAGCACATAACCGACTGTTAATGGGGATCCAATCGACTAGTGTTGCCTCAGCTCTAGCGCTTAGTGCGACACCAACGCCAGCAAGACCAGACGAAGATGCCACAGGGTCCCCGGATAAGCGCACGTAAAACAAGCTTTTTGAAGCGACAGATGGAGATCGAATTTGTAGTACTTCGCCAGAGTCTTGAATACGGGTCTCGGATAGACAACAAACATCAATATTAAGACTTTCCAAAGACATAGCCAGCCCTATCTGTTGTCCGACCTGCATAAATGTGCGAACGTTGAAGGCAGCCAGTTTGAATGGTGCACGTGGTTTCAGAAAAATTGCTTCAGCATTCGTATTAGGTGGTAGCATACAATTTTCAACCGGACAGTGACTCGAGAACGTTTAGATACAGTCGAATTTCCACCATGGATGAGCTGCTGTATAAGTCGAAAAACAAGTATACACAGAGTGGGAATAAAAGAGAGTGAATAAATGACGTAAATAATAATAATAATAATAATAATAATAATAATAATAATAATAATAATAATAATGTGAATCGTTTGATTGTTAATCGAAGCGAGACAAGTATTTTCCATAAATATGGACATTTCATCATATTTATGTGTGGGCTGTGATACTGTCCGGGTGCCCGGGCCGAAGCAGGTGGTTTTCTTAGGGGGCCACACCCAGAGCCTTCGACTTGAAGGTCTGATCCACAAAGCAGTGGAGCATCGTGAGGAGATGCGGTCCCGTAGTCGCCGGTGACCAACGATTGGTTCATACGCCATTTTTTCCCTTAGGATTCTGGAGCCCATGTGCACCACTGATTTGGTTTGGGATCCGGTTAAGGCTTTGGACATTCGCTTTTCGTCCTCTCAATTTCGTAAACAACACCCATGGTGCTAGAAGGCAATGAGTAAGTCTTTCCTGGCAGTGTCTGTATACGCGTAGCCGTGTGAGAGTATTTCGAGAGGGAGGAAGGGCCCACCCCACTCTCGGCCATACCAGGGCACGTAGAGACATTAGCTTAAATGCCAAAAATCTATTTATCCAAATGGATGAGTGAATTTGACGCCAAAACCCGAAACTTGTTATCTTATACCTTATTGGTTCTTCTATAATTTATAATCTTGTCAAAATCTTCCTCACATAGGTAGTACATCGTTCAAAATTATCATTATCATTGATTATCTTTATCTACCATATACTAAACATTGACCAACTGATTATTCGTAAAGTAGGCTTATTCACATTCTCTAATTTGCATCTCTCTAATCATCTGTTTACTAATTATGGAAGAAAGCTAAACAGTGAGATTATAATTTCTGAACGAACCAATCAGATTCAAGATAACAGGTCTTAGATTTTCGCGCAAAATTCATCCAGTCATTTGGCTAAATATCATTTCGGCATTTTAATCGCTGTAAGTAGATGAAGATCCTCAAGGTCGTCCATCTTGATCTGGTTGGTGTTTCTTTTCAGCAAGAACTACTACAACCATTATCAAGAAGGTACAAGTATTTATAAATAGTTGTCTGCGTAAGATACTCAACATCCATTAGTCGGATACCATCAGCAACAGCCTACTCTGAGAAAACAGAACAGCTTCCAATTGAAGAGGAAATTAGGAATAGACGTTGGAAGTGGATAAGACACACATTGAGGAAATCACTAAACTGTATCATGTGGCGAACGCTAACTTGGAATTCTAAAGGGAAGAGGAGAAGAGGAAGGCCAAATAACACATTACGTCGGGCAAATTTATTTCATTAGATTATACTCCTTGAATAATATCTTCAAACCCTAATCTTTCCGATTACTGCTTATACTTTTACTAGCTCTACCACTACGGGATTTGAATCGACAACTGCATCTCTGTTCTAATGTGGTATAACATCTCGAACTGATGTTCTACGTTGTTACTGACTGACTGACTGATTAGAAGCAGACACAAAAAGGATGAATAACATCTGGAAAGCGCTGAAAAGAATTACTCATGATAGGGTTGGATGTAGACTGCTATTAAGCGGCTTATGCTCCTTCACGAGAAGTAAATAAATATAGGTCGTTCATAAATTATAGTCTCACTAACAGTCAGTCTTGAGTGCTGATAGAGGTATGAGGGCGGTTATCATTTCCCAGTTGCCCACATCGTGGAACGGTTCTTCTGGAGGTAACTGAAAAAGGAAATTAGACTAGAGGCGATCTTAGTGACCTGACAGCGTGACTACAGTGCCCAAGCGACAACTGCTTGAGGTCGGTCACACACGACATTTTTGTGACTAATTTTCGTGTTAGCTCCGTACTTGTTGAGACCTTACCACGGGAGACAGATATTCGTTGGATAAGGTGAGTTGTGTATTTTTAGGGTTGACATTTTGTAACCCTACGCCTCCTTGTGGGAAGGCATCATCGCCGTTATGCTGGTCGTCTGAAGGAAACACCTTACTGCCATCACACCTCTGTACAATGAGCATTACAACTTTGCCTTCAGACCCTGGGTTTGTTGCATTTAGTGTTGCTGCTATCTGGTATAGTAGGACCTTGATGAACGATTGTTCCAGTCAGTATAGCTCGGTTGCTTCATCACGATAGGCAAGCCCAACCACCACGTCAAGGTCGCAACAATGATCGGGTCTCATCAACAAACAGATGATATATCATTATCGTTCAATCATTCTGTAGTTAAACTGGTTACTAAAGTATCATTATAGTTCTCTTTTCTCATTTTCATTTCTCCATGCATTTCATTAAGATTTTTTTCTTGTCTTCTAGGTAACTAGAATTGATTTCAATGAAATGTATCATCAAAATCATTTATTGCATAAACCATTATTTCCATCAAATTCATTATCTTTTATGGAAATATTCTATCGTCTTTTATCTGCTCAAGATATTCGATAAATACAGATACAGTTTTGTTATTGTTTAGGTCTTTATTATTATTAGTAGTAGTAGTATTATTACTATTATTATTACTATTGTTCTTACTATTACTACTACTAATACTACTAATACTACCACTATTATTATTATCGTTACTATTACCATTACTACCACCATTACCATTATTATTAGTACTACTATTAATATTACTATTATTACGTAACTATGTTCCTAGTGATATTTTCGGTGGAACTTATCCTATTTTTATAACATGTAATATGATTATAACATTTTCCTCTCTCTATTATATATTGAATAGTAAATATATTAATGGATAATATGCGGTTATTATGTTTATTTATCATTCAGTTATGATATGTACTACTACTACTACTACTACTACTACTACTACTACTGATGATGATGATAGATAGATAGATAGATATAAGTAGTGTGTAACGCTATTTATTTATATATTTTAACACATAGATATTGGTTCAAGGAGGCACCAAATACATATGCGCCACACAGATCTCATTTGATATGTGTGATGGCTGTGATACTGCCCGGGTGCCCAAATCGAAGCAGATAGTCTTCTTAGGGGGCCACACCCGGAGCCTTTGACCTGAAGGTCTGATCCACAAAGCAGTATAGCAACGTGAGGAGATGCATTCCCATGGTAGCCGGTCACTATTAATTGGTTCATACACTATTTGTTCCTCAGAATACTAGAGCCAGCACATGTACACTGTTGGTTTGCAATGAGGGTTTTCCAACTCCTCTAGGTGGACTAACCATGTCCACCCACCCGGTTAAAGCACTGGACATTCGCTTTTCGTCCTCTCATTTTCGTAAACAACACCGGTGCTACGAGAGGGCAGTGAGTAGGTCTTCCCTGGCAGAGGCTATATACGCGTGGCCATATGAGAGCATTTGGAGAGGGAGAGCGAACTCTTCCCACTTTCGGCCGTACCAGGCATTTGGGGGCTATATAACGTTAATCGAAAATGAAATGTCTTGCAGCAGACGGTTAAGAAAATTGAAGAAAAGTAAACAAGAACAGAGAATGATTATTGTGGAAGCGAAAGTACAATGAAGTTTGAAATGATTGATAGATATTTTGTAAAAGAAGTATTTATTGTATGATTCTGAGATTTGACTAAGTTGTTCTGTCATTTTGTGCTCAACTACATTCGATTGTCCATGCCTATGTTCTCGTTTATTACATTATGGCAGAAAGTGATAACAGTGTTAATTATCAACATTTAAAGATGTTAGCCAATTAGAAGAAAACAATTTTTCGTGTACTTTTGATTCATACGACTACATAATTTGAATAATCCTTATTGGTGTTGGCGACGTTAGATCCCCAGAACTCACATGGGAAAGGACCTAATTTTGTAATTTTATTTAGAAAATTTGAATTTCTTTGTTTTCGCGCCAAAGGCGCTTTTGTCACCTTCATGTCGTATTTCCCACTTGGGAAATATCTTAAATGCTATTGGTCCGTTGTATCTTTTAGTATACTATTTGGTAACTCTCCCCAAGGACGGTTCTGTGCTGTATATATACGTTCTGAACTGTGTTTGTGGTTATCGCTCGTTTCTGGTTGTTTTGCAGAATATACTTCCCTATTCTAAGCTTGGACTTCTCCCTCTAGTTAGCGAGGCCGGGACGCATCAATAGCTAGCTTACTGGTCTTTGATCATTGAGTCTTGTTTCTCGTTCTTAGATTAAGTGAACTCGTGATAGCTTCATCCCTAGCAATTGGATAGGTTTCTATTTGTATGTATAAATCACTTGAACATTACTGTATTGTTGATTGGTTATTTTTGGATATTTCTGCAAACTAGTGATACATCATACAGAACTGATTTTTACATTATTCAGTGTAATCTATTCACATCAAATCAGATGGAATATACCTTCAGTTTACTAAGTAAGGATGTCTTCACCTCGAAAAGACCGGCAATAAACTTCAGAATCTTGTCAAACACCATATATTTAATAGAATACAGTTAGAACACTTTGTAAAAATTTAGATTACCCTTCCAAAGTGTTTATAGACTGCCGTACATTGTATTCAAACTAAAGATATTCAGGTTTTGTGAATAGTGTAACATTATCCATGAAGTCTTCTTGATCACTGTTGAAATCGACCATCAGTCCGATTCTCAATATTAGTTAAAGTTTTGAGGAATTTTCAACCCTTCTCCTTATTACTCATGTGTTCTACTGTATGTTGAGACTTTATTGTGATGAATACATATATATTCATTGTTACGCATCTAACTGGAAATTAATTAATGTCGGCAAAAAATGATGGCTACCCTTTGATAATCATCATTACTGAATTATTAAACTCTCTCATTGATGGATTTCTCTATTACATATTGTAAGGCCAGACGATTAAATCTGACCTCCTTGTAACAACTCCAGCCTCAATATATAAATGCTCATCAAACTTAATTTTTGAGTCAGGTATGGTTCTTGTATCGTTTTGGACTAAACCTCATCTAATGCGGTAAGACCAAAAGCAGCAAGCCCAAAGTCCGAAGGCGAAGTCATACTGCAAGCATACAACAAGCATAACAGCGATGGTGCCTTCCCATAAAAAGGCGTAGAGTTAGAACGGTCGACCCTGAAAATACAAACCTCATCTTATCCCATGGATATCCGTCTCCGGTTGGTAAGGTCTCAACAAGTACGGAGCTAACACGGAAATTACTCACAAAAATGTCGTGTGTGACCAACCTCAAGCAGTTGTCGTTTGGGCACTTTGGTTATGCTCTCAGGTCACTGAGTCCATCTTTAACTCAATTTCCTTTTCAGATACTTCCAGAAGAACCCTTCCACGATATGGGCAACCGGGAGATGATAACCTCCCTCATACCACTAACAGCACTCAAGACCATTGTATTCATAATCAACCTCCCATCGAATTCGGAGTATAAAAATGTTTGTACAATATTACTAGTGTAAATCTAGGTCGTTTACAGCTAATAAAAAGTGTTGAAATACGATAAACTCATGTTATTCCACTCTTCTTGCTTTATTTAAACTAAATCTCTATTTAGCGTTTTTAAATCACGGTGTTATTTGGAAAGCGCTCAGTTTTTGTAAGTGTACACTGCATTATATTGTTTGTTCCATTCCCAATTGAATGGTACATAGTTTTGATTATTGAGTTAGAATTTGTCTTAGAATTAATTGCCTGCATCAATTTGAAATTTCACTGGTAACAATAGTTATCATAGAGCATTAGTCTAAATGATCATACTAATGTGGTGTTGGTTACTTATATCCACATGAGTAGTATATAACGGTAGTTAGGCATATAATGTGTTTCGTTAGACGGTCAATGAAGAAAGAACGGGACCGGAACGAAATTGGTATGAAAACGCATGAACAATGAAATCTGAGACAATGGATTGATGTTTGCAACGGGAGCAGTCAAGTTTGATATGGTGGATTGATATTTTGCAAAGTAACGATTCACTATATGGTTCTCAGATTTCACTGAGATGCTCTGTAATTGATGTGCTCAAATACTTCAGACTGACCCCCATTGGTTTTCTTGTTCACAACATTAACTCAAGATAACACGATGAATAGCCAAAGGCTCAGAATGTTGGTAGTATTAGTAATAGTGAGAAAGTTTAGACATTAGCGAATATAATTTGAAAATAATAGGTAAGTCAAAGAAGTGGAATTTGCGGACTAATATTGAAGCTCAAGGCTTAGGGGAGGGGGGAGGAGACAAAGATTGAATCCACCTACGGCACAGTGATCAAATACAAGTCATTTCTCTTTTCAGTTCGTTTACATTAACCATCAAGACTCAAATCAAATGTCAATTACATTGTGGATTGATACCATATCTTGGACTACCCCGTATGTCTTCGTTTTTGTTTAACCTACTCTAGTTAATACTGTACTTCAATATAGATAGATGATTATTCGAATAATGTTACACATCAGATAGTTGCCTTAATTGATAAGAGTTCACGATTTCATTAATCGATTCACCACTATCTTCAAACACTCCTATTCATCTAACCCTGGCATTGTTTGCTCAGTTGATCTACAATTTGTAGACAATGCTCTGAAGATAGTGTGTTAAATTACCGCATTTTGACGGTACATAGGTACCACGTAAAATAAAGTTTAGTGACATCTGAATGTGAAAAGTTATAATGAGATTCATATTTCTTACTTAACATAGTCTGAGCGTTTACTGTTAGAATGTTAACAGTTTAAAAAGATTCTATTCATAGTCTAATTTAATCGTAACTCTTGTTTCATCTAATTCAATTTATGCAATCACATAGTACCATTAGCCTTCATACTTAAAGTGTAGTTTACCCTTGAGTATCTTGTTGAATGAGTTGTTTCGACACTTGATCAAATCAACTATGAAGAAGGTGCAAAACCAACGACATATGAAACTGTTGATTTTCATCAAATGACCATAGTTCATATGTAGTTAGAATGAATTACGCAATAACTATGTCAAATGTTACACAAGTCAAATAAATAATGCAGTTATATTTTCCTCGATAGAGTTCAAATCACGAACTGATATGAGTTAGATCACTATTGGAGGAATTAGACAACCATTGCATTCTAATATTGAACTCTTCATCCGAGTCGTGGATGCTCACTGCTAAGAAGTCATATACATAGGTGATTTAACTAAGATCAGTTCGTGATATCAAATCTTTGCAATTTCTATAATTTTCAAAAAGCCTCATACCGATATTTACATTTAGTCAGCCCATACTTCTATTTAGCTTAGTATAGAATCTTAGTACATTGTTTATTTAGTGTATTAAATTTCATCTTTGCTAATGAGATCATTCGGATGATATCATTACTATTACCGTATTTACAATTTAAATCGATATGTTTGATCTGTTTGTTGTCCTATTGTTAGATCTATTGCAATTTTATCTCATTTTGTTCTTCTAATCAATAAAAACGTTATTATTTCAACAGTTGAGATCATGAGTCAATTGAAGCTAGACCACCATGGAAAACCTGGAAGCACCGGACTACCGTTTCGTCCTATGGTGGGATTCCTCAGTAGTGCGCACCCACGGTCTCGCCTCGCGAGGTTCCAACTCAGGACCTATCGGTCTCGCGCGCGAACGCTTAACATCTAGACCATTGAGCCGGTGTCCAACAATGTTAATATCTAACTTCAACCAATCTACGAAATTGTCCCACCGTCTATCATTGTGATCAGTCAGTTACTGTCTCACAAGATGTGTTTCCTGGAGTTCTAGTGAGATGCCGTGACCAGTGAAATTCAATCGGGTCTGTTATGAGATAGTAACTGACTGAAGACAATCATGGACGGTGGCTCCATTTTGTGGTTAGTGGTCTAGATGTTAAGCGTTCGCACACGAGACTGGTAGGTCCTGGATCCCAATCTCGCGATGCGGGATCGTGGACGCGCACTGCTGAGGAGTTCCATATTGGAGCGAAACAGCTGTACAGTGCTTCCAGGTTTTCCATCGTGGTCTAGCTGTAACTGAATCACGAAATCAACCATTAAATTACTAAAATAAAAACTTTCTCAGTTCATATCATATTCGTTTTTGAAAATCAATTCAGCGAACTAACATTTTTAGACTGATGACTAATGAAAAGAAAGACAAATGGAAGTGTAAACCATACTGCCTACAAGAAATCAACACATTCAAATCATTAAATTGATTTCAATACAGCACAAGTACTCGATGCTAAAGCATCTTAGGTTACAGATCTGTTCAGACTAGTCATAAAGATCATTACGTCGGATGAAGATAGCTTCCCGACAGATACTTTTAAGAATATGCTAAAACAAAATGCCCTTTTGAATTCTGAATGCAATATCATGCCTTAGTACTTTGATTCTACTGTTGTGAATGTTGGGAAAACCGATTGTATTCAGATACTAAATCACGGAATCTCTTTTTAAAATTTGAGAACCGTACATGGAATATTTTATTTACAAACTTCCATTATTTGTCCTTCACATTCTGTATGATTCTTCCAGTCCACAATTCCTTTCTATCTCCATTTCTATTCCCTTCAACTTGATGTTCCTCAGTCAGTCAGCTACAGCTTAAGACAAGGCACATATATGCATCAGTCCAAGTTGCCATACCTCATTAGCACAACACGATGAACACCGGATTCATAGGAGCAGTTAACTCGATAGTGTAATATATAAAAGAAAGATTGCATATAAGGATACAGTACAGGAAAAAAGAATTAGTTCGTAGAAAGAAAGATATGATACGATTTTAATCTCCCGGCCTAAAGGAAGACAAGAGTGCATACACCGACGCCATTGTGATCGATTCTGAGCCATGTCATCAAGAGTCTCCAACCATTGGTTACGATTGTTGCGCGGACCCCAACCAAGTAGTCTGCATCTACCAACATGTCTCAGACCAGAAGTTAGTAACTTTAAGCGCTGATGCCACGTTTTAGTTTGGTCGCCCCTAATTTTCCTCTAACCATCCCTCACACCGGTTAGCATTGCGCATTCTGCTACCAGGGTTTTCTCTTTCAACTGGCGTTACGTATTACTTATGTCGACAGACATAAGTAGCATACACCACATTACCACACCCACATGGCATAATATAAGAACCACGACATATCTTTAAATCAGACAGAATTAAAGCACTCTATAAAACAAATACTCTTCATAATACTTTGGTTCAAATAAAAGATAATATCCTTTTTGTTTTGGCACAGAATTATGTCTACAAACTAAAATGTGTAGATCATAATCCATTCCATAATGGAGAGTCTTTTCGTGAAACCATAACTCTTGACAAAGAATATCTAAGCTGCACTAAAATACCACCAATTAATCCTTAAGAACTTAAAAGACTCCAAATATGACCGGCGATAGGAGTACATGATTATTTTTTATAACCGTCCAATTCAGATAAGCTTTTCAAATAATAAAGAAACATGAGCTGCTGAACCTGTTCATCCATTCTTAAACCTTACTACATTTAATTAAAAAAAGGTCTAACGATCCACACAATTAATTCTATCCACATCTCACATTATTAACTAGCATACAAATCTTTCTAAACCTATTATCCCACATCACATTATCCAAATCTAACAAAACCCATACAAGGATGTCTCACAAAAAATCACCCTGACGGACTCGACCCCGTGTCATACAGCTTCACAGTCAATGATGTTATCGCTGAGCTATCCGGGCCGGGACTGACCTCCTGTAGGACTGTGATGTATTCACAACTGATTAATCACTGGGTGTTGATCAATGTCAGGTCCTTCTTAGTGCTGTTATAGGTATGAAGGAGGATATCACTTCCCCGTTGCCCACATCGTGGAAGAGTATCTGAAAATGAAAGTGAATTAAAGGTGGTCTTAGTGACCTGAGAGCGTGACCGCAGTGCTCAAGCAACAACTGCTTGAGGTCGGTCACACACGACATTTTTGTGACTAATTTTTGTGTTAGCTCCGTACTTGTTGAGACCTTACCACCGGAGACAGATATCCATGGGATAAGGTGAGGTTTGTATTTTCAAGGTCGACCATTCTAACTCTACGCCTCCTTGTGGGAAGGCAGAATCGCTACCATGCTGGTTGTCTGAAGGAAACACCTTACTGTTGTCACACCTCTGTACAGTCAGCAGTATGACTTCGCCTTCGGACTTTAGGTTAGTTGCTTTTAGTCTTACTGCTATTCAACTGACCTGTCTGGCATGGTAGGACCTTGAGGAACGGTTGTTCCAGTCAGTATAGCTCGGTTGTTTCATCACGATAAGCAATCTCAATCACCACATCAAGGTAGCAATATGGCCACCAGTTCCCTCGAGAATACAGGTACACCTTACTGGCGAGTACCTAGGTCCAGGGTTTCCGGTTGTCTACCTTCAACCACCATCTTATCTCAACATAGTTCACGTAATATCGAGTCACCTAAACTACTGGCTATATTATAACATGACCGATAGTATTCGATTTGCATTAACGAGCATCTGACATACTGGATGGTGGTGACACCCAGTGTTCATGATAACTGATTGAATAGTAGTATTTAAAAAAGACAATTCATTATCATTAAACATCATCTTTTATAATAAAAAAATGATCATTATGATATGTATATGTTAATATTATGAATGACTTAACTAATACATTCATACATTGAAAGAATTTTCCATTAGTGAAGAATCATACAACTTCCATTGATTGATTGAATCCTTTAAATGATCAATTATATCTTGATAGTAATGATACCATGTTATTAATTTATTCATTTGATCTATTCTATTCAATCCAGTAATTTTGATAAAATCTATACCTAAACCAATTGCCTAAATGATAAACCAACCAACCAATCAAAAGAAAGGGGAACTTATAATGAAACATGTGAATAGGATAGAATGAGAAAAAAAATGTTATACATGAAACTGTAATCAATCAGTCTCTTATTGGTATATGTGCATCCTAATGTACAATGCCTCGATATTACCTTAGATCCTAACCCTCTAAGTTAAGATGACGTTTTAAAGTGAATGGTTCTGGGTTCGAGTCCATGAGTGAACATCAACTATGAGATGCAGGTACATCCAGTTGATGAATCCCAGAACGGTACTAGGTTCGAATCCATGAGTGAACATCAACTATGAGATGCAGGTACACCAAGTTGGTGAATCGCAAATAGGATGTATCATGTGAACGGTCCTGGGTTCGAGTCTCACAGTGATCATTAATTCATGTACATCTAGCTGATGAGTTCCAAATAGGATGTAACATGCGTCTTAGATTCGAATGGTAGCCACCATCTATCCATGATATTAATCAATTCATAAATTCATTGATTATTAGATTGATTGACCTGCATTGATAAATATAGATTACGTAGTATTAGTCCTATACTATTACTATAACTAATGACTGGAAATGTTTAGTGACAAAACTGAGAAACAGTTTCAATAGCGTGATTACATTCACTTTCTATTTGGCCTTACATTAGTTTGTGCAGCAAAATATTTTTATTCTGCCTATGCTTTATGGTTTCACAGATTGAAATCATGAGTCAATTGAAGCTAGACCACCATGGAAAACCTGAAAGCATTGAACGGCCGTCTAGTACTGGCACGGGACTCCTCAGCAGTGGACAGTCGTGCACGGTCGTCCAGTGCTCCCAGGTTTTCCATGGTGGTTTGGCTTCAATCGACTCATGATTTTAATCTGTGAAATTTCTAAAATCTCCACAAACCCCTTCTGATAATATTCTTTATGGTGTTATTTTTTTCTATACTATCATTAATACACAGTTACTGATTCCATGATTTCGGCATCTAACCACTTTGATATGACTTGACGATATGGAACACTGTACAAATTTGGCGAATTCTACGTTAATTACAATTCACTAATCGTTATTCCAAGTAAACTTTAAATAATAGACATTCCTTTCTAATAGAGTTTGTTTAAAATAGTAGTTAGAAATCTCATTTATATGAACTGTTCTTAGTTCCTTGTCTAGTAATGGACCCGTCAGGTTACTACTCGGAACCCCTCTGGGGCTAACGCCGGTCCCAAGCGAGGATAAAGGAGGAGGATTGAGCACGGGGTTAGCGAACCCATCCCGTAGAAAACTAACTCGCTAAAAAACGCTAACCAGAAAAAATTATTCAAACCTTTTAAACTCTGCCCTGGGAGTCAGAAGGTCAGAAGAATTATGACGCCTCATGATGAAAGCCGAGTTCGTTCGAAAGTTACGAGGCCGATGCTCTTTCTGACAGCCAGAGCAACCATTAATTTAGGTACGTGGAATGCGAATTTTGTGATGGAATGGTAAGTGAAGGTAAAATATTCCTAGTACATGCAAACTCCAAGATCGAACTCTGTGTGTGAACCTTGATGAGTGTCTGAAGATAATGTTTGACATGGCTTAGAACCGATCATGGTGGTGTAGATACATTCATTCTGAAACCTTCCTATAGATTTAAATTTCCACCACTTTCATACACTTTTCTTACTTTTTGAATCATATTATCGACGTTTAGTCTTTCTCACTATCACTGCTACTACAACTATATCTTACTTACTTACTTTACTTACTTACGCCTGTTACTCCCAATGGAACATAAGCCACCGACCAGCATTCTCCAACCTATTTTTGATGGATTTTTGTTCTCTGTCCTCGGCCTTCCTTTCTAGTCCTATCCTATTTTTTCATTCATCTCATGTCTGTCTTCATTTCTCGGTGTAATGTGTTCATTGGTCTTCCTCTTTTCCTTCGGCCTTGAGGATTTCATGTGAGCGTTTGCCTTGTGATGCAGTTGGGTGCTTTCTTCAACGAGTGTCCTATCCACTTCTAGCGCTTCTTCCTGATTTCTTCCTCCACTGGAATTTGGTTTTTTCTCTCCCATAGTAGGTTGTTGCCGATAGTGTCTGGCCAACGGAACCTAGGTATTTTGCATAGACAGCTGTTAATAAACGCTTGTATGTTCTGGATGATGGCCTTCGGTAGTTCTGCAGGTTTCCGCTCCATACAGTAGAACTGTCTTCATGTTTATATTGAAAATTCTGACCTTGTTGTTGGTTGACAGTTCCAGATGTTCTTCATTAGTAAATATGCTGCTCTTTCTTTACCGATCCGCGCCTTCACAACTATATCTACTTCCTCACTATTAATCTCGTTAATTATATTTCATTGTTTTGATTCGGTGTGAAGATTTGAATTAACTCACTTTTCAACCAGGCTCTATGCCGACTATAATCAGATGAATAATGAACAGCTTTCACTAGAATTCCTTTGAACTTTCCTACCATTTCTGATTCGAAAACGCAAACTACTAGTCTTGTTACTACACTTCCATTTATTTTTTTTGAAAATGTCAAATTGAGGTTATAAAAACTGTTTAGTTTTATTAAGATTAAGAACTGATCGAAGTTAGAAAACCATTGGAAACTTGTAAGCACTAATTGGCAGTGTTTTATCATAGTATGAGATGACTCAATTGTGCACACAAATCCTAGCCATCGAAAGATCGAACGTAAGACCTTTGGTCTCATGCGTAAACGACTAACTTACCGACCACTGACTCGTTACTACTAGATTACAATCGTGTCGTGTGGATGGAAGCTATCCATTGAAGATAATTATAAACTGGCCATCCAATATTCCAAACTCACTGAATCTAGACTTATACACCATTGGATCTCGGATCAAAAGACTCAGTGTTAAAAGTTTGATGGCGAGAGCTGAGGTCCTGAATTCGATTCTTGACTCAAAGATCATGAATATGCATTGATAGGGAGCTCTATTCTAGAAAATAAAAAACAGCTGTTCAGTACTAACAAGCATCTAATGGTTATCTAACTTAGATTGGTTCACAGTCTTAATTAGATACTTGTGCGTTGCATTAAACTAACATTTTTAAACAAGAAAATACTGCTAACTCACCATATCCATTGGCCAATCTTCAATCACTTGTAGATTATCCAAACTGAATATCACTTGCCGATTTTGTACTTTTAATGATAGTTGATAGTTTTCATTCGTTAAAATAACAATAAAGTGAGTGAGTGAGTTAGTTAGTTAGTTACATAGATACATATTAATGCAAAATAAAGGACAATTGATATTAATGTCCAAATGACTGACATGTAATCAAAGTCTACCGTTTACTAAATTACAGAACAACAGTAAGATCTCTGTAAGCAATGATGAATAGTGACTAGCAGTGGAATCCAGGACGTGCGTTTCGTCCTATTTGGGACTCGTCAGCTGGATGTACCTGCATCTCAGAGAGTTGACGTTCACTTTGGGACTCAAACCAAGTAGCATTCACTTCAAACGCCATCGCGTTATCCACTCAGCTACTGAGTCCTGATAGCCACTTGCTTGTGCAATGGGGTGAATTTAAATTCATTTGGTAATCGTTTGGCTTGTATCTTCCTTATTGCAGTCTTAAACCTCAATGGGAAGATACAAGTCAAACAATTACCAAGGGTAAGATCTCGTTTTCCAGATTTAATTGACGATCAAAACGTGTTTTTTTGTTTTTGCGTTATTACTGGACGAATATTGTAAAAGCTGGAACTATTCGAACCATTTAGCAAGCTATTACTAAACGCATTCTTATTGCATATTTATAAAGTAACTAGATTATTAAGCATAAATATCGTGTTAATCATAGGCTTCCGTTTAATCGATTCACTACTATTATACTACTTATTATAACTACTTAATTGTCAATCAACTATTCACAGATATGTATCAGAAGAGGTTTAGTGGAGATTGTAGTAATTTCAACAGTTGAGATCATGAGTCAATTGAAGCTAGACCACCATGGAAAACCTGGAAGCATTGGACGGCCGTTTCGTCCTATGGTGGGATTCGTCAGCAGTACGCATCTGTGACCCTGTCTCGCGGGATTTGAACTCAGGATAAGTTGAAGTTAGACATTAACACCGTTGGATGCCGGCTCAGTGGTCTAGTTGGTTAAGCGCCTGGCACGAAACTGATAGATCCTGTGTTCGAATCCATAGTGGTCTAGCTTCAATTGACTCATGATCTCAAATGTTGATATTCACAGATATGTTTCGCTTGTTTGTACATAGTTGTCTATTTGAAATATAGAAATGATAGAAACTAGTTACTGACTTTTCGAAGCCTAAGGAAAGGCATAAAGAAAGGTGATGGGATAGGAGTTTAAGTGAGTTGGTTCAAGGTCGACGGTGCTGGTCAAGAGTATAATGGGTCAGGTTTGAGACAACAGATCATAGAAGAAATGATAGACAAGATTAGAATTAGTATTCTGATTGGTATCTCTGACATTTGATATCGATTAGTAAATCTATTCACATTAGTTTCATTCTTTCATATTTCGTAGTTTATATGAACAATATATATACACCTGCTTATATTGCCTGTGATCTAAAGCAGTATTGGTGGATACGGAGGATTCACCTAGAGTATTTGAAGAACCCTCATTCCAAACCAATAGTGTACATGGACTCCATGATCCTGAAGGAACTAATGACGCATGAACCAATTATTTGTCACCTACTACCATGTGACTGCATCTCTTGACATTGCTCCACTACCTTGTCGATTAGACCTTTAGGCCAAAGGCTCGGTGTGTGGCTCTCTAAACAAACCTCCGGCTTTGGTTTGGACACCCAGGCAGTATCCCGGCCCTCACACAGAATCCACAGAATCTGCCCATAAGGGACTGATCAATTTCAACCCTAAACATCAATGAAAAGATTCAAATAACAAATACAAATGAATATACAACTTATATATATACTTATCACTTACAATGTAATATATGAATTGCTTGAATAATTTCTGTTATTAAAACACAATCTAAACATGGATCCATAGTGAATAACCAAGATGAGTAACACATATCCGGTTTATCAATTGTATTACATAATGATGTAGATTGTAATGCACCATTCGGTGTTTGTTCTATATTATTATTATTATTATTATTATTATTATTAGTAGTAGTAGTAGTAGTAGTATCTATGTCAACATGATTTACATCATCCTTATGATGATGAATTTTGTTGCCTTGGCAACTATTCACTAAATCATAAATAGTTAAACCAGTTGGAATACTAAATTTTAATGATTCATCAAATGATGATAATGTTGTTATTGTTTTAAGATTTTTTGTAATCATTGAATTAGATCGATTAAGTGTTATCTCTTTTATAGCTGGTTGAATCATTGTACTTGTTGTAATCAATATTGATGATGTAATACGTGTTTTTAATAATTCCCAATATTCTTTATCCTAAATAAAGAAAGAAGATCATAGTAACAAAAATAATACCATAGATTAAGTATTATGTAAGTCTGTTTTACTCTCTCTCTCTCTCTCTCTCTCTCTCTCGTTGTGTCTCTCTGTCCTTACACATTTCTGTTTGACTTTGATAAGTCTTCTAATTGAACGTTAGATACAGTTCCTAAGTTTTTCTAGTAACCCCTTCCCCAGGCTAAATCTACACAGCAACATGAACATGAGAGAAAAGGTGCGAAATATGGAAGAAACGCTTTACTCTAAAGGTATGTTTATGTACGGAAAATTTAGGGTTTTTACAATATTTTAGTTGGCCTTAGGTTTTAGAAAATTCTGGGATACTACGAAACATAGTAGTGAGGTATAAGTAATCATCTAATTAGAAACTCGATATGTGACTTTTCACTTCCTAGATGTTTCTGGTAAAACGTCTATTGAATGCTGATTAGATAAAATGTTTCCTAGTGTTTTCAAAGCCTATCATTGGCATTTTGTTTTCGAGGAGTTTTCTGGATCGCTGGTGTCGCTGCCAACTAGGAGAGGAGGAGGGTGCTGTTCTGCGGACACCGTCGCGGGCCTGGAGCTGAGGTGCTAGTTGGGGCAGTCTGGTGCGGAGAGGTGGCGTCCAGTGGGGTGTTCTGGCGAGGCAACGTTGGTTGTAGCGGGTGCTGTCGACGGAGAGGGGCGGTGAGACGTGCGGCTGCTGGGCGGATATCGGATGTAGATGGCTTAGCAGGCCGGTGGAGCACGGATGTTAAGTGTCCCAGGTGCCGGGTGGATGTCGGATGTTGTTGCCCCGGCAGGTCGACGGAGCTATGGAGGTTAGCGCACTGCAGACTCGACATTTTGACATAGAGCGTAGCACAAACTGCCGAGACAAAGAATGTGGCATGGCGAGCATGAACCACCACAAGAACGACTGCTTGAAAGGGTGAACGAGTGTGGTATGTGCTACTTATATTGACATAAGTAGTAGATGATGTTAGTCGTGAACAGAAGGTCTGGCAGCAGAGAGACAAGAGGATTGAACAGTAAAGAATGGGAACAGAGTGCAATTTGTATGAAAATGCCAGGACAATGAAGTCTGAGTCATTTTGAGACTATTGATGGACATTTTGCAAATTAAGCATTTACTTTGTGATTGTTAGATTTTATTAACAAGTCCTGTAATTTTGTGTTAAATACATTCAATTGTCCCCATTAGTGTTCTTGTTCACCACATTTTAATAGTTGAATTCATGTGTTAATTGAAGCCAGACCACCATGGGAAACTTGGAAGCACTGGACTCATGAATTCAATTATTAAATTACTATAATATCTACAAAAATCCCTTTTGATTTATATATCCATTAGTATCAGAAGGGGTTTTGTGGATATCATAGTAATTTCAATAGTTGAGATTATGAGTCAATTCAAACTAGACAACCATTGAAAACCTGGAAGCACTGGACGGCCGTTTCGTCTTACGGTGGGACTCCTCAGCAGTGCACATCCACGACCTCGCCCCCTGCGAGATTCGGACCCAGGACCTACTGGTTTCGCGCGTGAGCACTTAACCACTAGACCACTGAGTTGGCATCCAACAGATTAAATTCTTGCTAAACAGTACCATCTTTTGGTTCATTAACGGTGAAATATATCTGGTTTTATAAACTAGATCTACATATGTATTGCACAAGCTTAATGATTATTAAACAAGTTTCATTACCAGATATATAAATAATAAATACTCATAAACAGTTATTGTGGTATATACTACTGATATTAACAGATATAAGTAGTATATATCATCAATTGAATATGAAATGTCTAGTAGTAGAAGGTTAAGAAGTTCGAAGAAGAGAAAACAAGAACAATTAAATCTAAGACAAATGCTCAATATAATATCAATTTGAAATATATGTTGTAAGAATTTAGGGCAAATTTTTAATGGAGTTTTGTTCTCTGGACTGGATGGTTTGATTGTGTAGCTTTCATTGTTCTTCTGAACAACCGCAAGAACGACTGCTTTAAAAGGGGGGAGGACGGGTGTGGTGCGTGCTACTTATATTGATTTAGGAAGTATATAACGCCAGTTAAAGAACGTATTATCTGGCAACAGAAGATGGGGGAAGATCAAGAAAGGAAGAGCGAGAACACAATGGAATTTGTAAGAAACCACATGGACAATGAAATGTGAGACAATGAACTGATGTTTGCAACGTCAACAGTCCGGTTTGATATGATAGAATGATATTTTGCAAATTAACGATTTACTATTTGGTTTTTCTATTTTATCAAGTAACTCTGTAATTTTGTGCTAAATACGTTCGGCTGTCCCCACCCGTGTTCTGTTCACTACAATACAACTGATTTCTGTTCCCGTTCACTTCAATCTAATTTTCTCAACTTTCTGTTAAAATAGGCATTTCATTTCTAAATAGTAATATGTACTACTTATATCTGTCGACATAAATCATACTGTATTTGTAAACTATGAAAACAATGAATTAGATGGACTATTTGCATAACTTCTTTGAGTTGTAACTTATAAACTTCATTGTTCTTCCATTCTTATTACGATTGAAATGACTTTCTCTTTTGTCCATAAGAATCTTTCTTTTTAATTCTTGGTAAATACTACTTATGCCTATCTTTATAAGTAGCATATACCATACTAGTATTATAGATTGATAAAGCTCGGCCGTTGTTGCTACCTTGACTTGTTGGTTGTGCTTGCCTATTGTGATGAAGCAACCGAGCTATACTGATTGGAACAATCGTTCCTCAAGGTCCTACCATGCCAGACAGGTCAGTTGAAGAGCGGTAAGACTAAAAGCAACAAACCTAAGGTCTTAAGGTGAAGTTGTAATGCCGACTGTACAGAGGTGTGACAACAGTAAGGTGTTTCCGTCAGACAACAATCATGATAGCGATGATGCCTTTTCACAAGGAGGCGTAGAGTTAGAATGGTCGACCTTGAAAATGCACACCTTACTTTATCCCATGGATATCTGTCTCCGGTGGTAAGGTCTCAACAAGTACGGAGCTAACACGAAAATTACTCACAAAAAGATCGTGTGTGACCGACCTCAAGCAGTTGTCGCTTGGGCACTATGATCACACTCTCAGGTCACTAAGACCACCTCTAATGCAATTTCTTTTTCAGTTACCTCCAGAAGAACCCTTCCACGATGTGGGCAACTGGGAAGTGATAACCGCCCTCATACCTCTAACAGCACTCAAGACCAATGTATTCATAATCATAATCAAGATGGATAAAGTGTTTTAAACGAGAACAAAGACAACTATACTAAATATTTCTTAATTAATCACTTATTAATGTTCATATATAGAATCAAGATTATTTCCAAATTGTATTTATCATGACTTACTTCTGCTCTAAATGGATCAATTAATAAACGTATTTGTGGATATTTACCAATTAAATCTATATAATAATTAACTAATTCTTCTGGTGTTTTCAAATTTCCCGTAATTATTTCATAACGTTCTTTTATCTATTCAATAAAATAAAGAATAAATTATGGGATAAAAGATGGTTCAAAATAGTATTCTCTCTTTCATTCTTTCTCTCTTTGGTATATTGCAATGGTAAAATTAGTCACATGGAATTAAATCCAGGATTAACGACCCAGAATAGAAATGTTATTATCTATTTGAACACATCAATATTGGTATGAAAGGGCACTGAATATATATGCGCCATACAACTCAGTTGATTTAGGTGTCGACTATGATACTGCCCGGGTGTTCAAACCGAAACAGATGGTTTTCTTAGGGAACCCTGAACCTTTGGCCTAAAGGTGTAATTTTCAAGGTAGTGTGGAGCTATGTCAAGAGATGCAGTCATATGGTAATCGGTGACCAATAATTGGTTCATACGCTATTAGTTCCTTCAGGATCGTGGAGGTTATGTACACCATTGGTTTAGAATGAGGCTTTTCCAACTCTTCTAACTGGATCCTACATATCTACAGGCACGGTTGAAGCGGTGGACATTCGCTTTTCATCCTCTCAATTTCTCAAACAACACCCTTACCGCAAGAAGGCAGTGAATAGGACTTCCCTAGCATTGACTGTACACACATGTGGTCATGTGAGAATATTTCGAGAAGGAGAGCTGAGTCTCTTCACCCTCGACCGTACTAAAGCATTTGAAGGCAAGAATAGATAATACTTAATTCAATACAATCACAATCAATCAATCTCGGTGAATTCAGAGTAATAAATCAATGACAAGAAAGGAAATCACATATTGATTAGTCAGTAGGCTAAGTGCCTATCTGTCCACATTCATTAACCAATCATATTTTAGTTTCACTACCACAAAATAAATCGATTATTTTTCTATATATATATATATATATATATATATATATATATATATATATATATATATATATATATATATATTATATATATATATATATATATATATATATATATTATCAGTATAGGGTTCAGTCCCATTGACACGACAAAATGATCAGTGTTGGGTCAGTTTGGAAAACCTAGAAGCAATAGGTGACCATTTAGTTCTAGTATGAAAGTTATATTCCGAGCTCAGATATATCAGCAGGCACATCTAGCTGACGAGTTCCAAATAGGACGAAACACGTGTCCTGGATTCCACTGGTGACCGTCATCCATCTTTGTTTAGAATGCATGTGAATAAATAGCATTATTGAGGCAATCCTCACAGGAGGCATATATGGCAATCAGTAACTGATCAGTTGCAGTTCTAAACAACAATAGGAAGATACAAGCAAACAATACCAAGTGAATTTCAACTTTTTTTTAATAACAGATTTGATCATTAGTTGTTTCGTGTATAGAGTGATTTCATTTTAAGTGTTATTATTGTTGATACCTATGGATTTCGTGTGTTGATCCCGTATACAAGACCTTTTGTCTCGCATGCGAACACTTAAATTCTAAATTACTGATCCGGTATCAAACGGTGTTAATGTCTATCTTCAATCGATCTATGATCTCGTGCAACCATCCATCCATTGTATGAGGTAGATAACTGTCTCTATCCGACAGGGATTGGGCTCCAGTGTTTGTCGCTTCTTGCTAGAACTCGAGGAAAAATATCTTGAAGCCTTCCATTAATAAGTACATGATGAATTCAACAACTGGATATCACATAATTGCCCTACATTACACTAGTTCATAAAAAGCCTGTACATACTTATCGTATACATTCATCATGATAAAACTGCAAGCTTAAGTAGATGTACGCTTTCTATGTTTAAACTGAGTAATATAAGGTTGCTTCATGTATTTTAGGATCGAAAGCTATGCAACTAGCCATTTTAACTCAAAGTATACTGTTATCTAAACTTCAGCTTGTTTTTAAATGGATAGAGACCATGGGGGTTATTTGTAGCCCGAAACGTTTGGTGATTTGACTCTTTTACTAACTACCGGACTATGTGTTCACTTTTGAACAACAATTTTTGTGTGAAAACTAGCAAAATGCTAACCAAAGTAGTTAAAGGGGTGTAAGAACATGTGACCTGTTGGTTGAGGGCCAAATGTATAAACAACTACTCTATACTCCACCAATTAGAACGAGACCCAGGACCAGTCTATTCTCCAACTACTTAAAATCTGTGGATAGTGTAATAAATATTGAGTTACTTAAGCTAGTGACAATACTTCAACTCGACCAATGGAATTCGATCAACACTAGAGGATTAGAGAATCATGACTGTAATTCAAACAGCACTACTTTGAAAATGGGTGGTTAACTCCGTGGTAGATTTTCTTAAATTAAAAACCATAATAGATAGAGTTAGCCAAGTTGAAAGAAATAATGATAATAAACCAATAACTTTGACCAAACATTGCACCACCTGCTCAGTATTCTAGAAATTAAACGCTCGCGCGCGAGACCGATAGGTCGCGAGGCGGGGTTGTGTGTGCGCACTGCTGAGGAGTTCCACATTAGGATGAAACGGCCGTTCAATGCTTCTAGGTTTTTCATGGTTGTGTAGCTTCAACTGAACTCAACTATTAGAATTACTATAATATACACAAAACCCCATTCTGATAATAATCATTATATGCTCACTAGTGACTGGCTTCAAGAGGTATTTCATGGAGCTCTAGTGAGAAGCAGTGACCAGTGGAGCTCAATCGGGTCTGTTGTGAGATAGTAAATCACTGAAAACAATGGTGGATGTATCGCTCAATTTCGTGGATTGTTTTAAGATAGACATTAACACCGTTAATTGCCGGCTCAGTGGTCCATATCGTAAATGTTCGTGCACGAGACTGATAGATTCTGGATCCGATTCTCGTGAGGCAGGATCGTGGATGCGCATTGCTGAGAAGTCCCATACTAAGACGAAACGATCGCCCAGTGCTCCTAGGTTTTCCATGGTTGTCTAACTTTAATTGACTAATGATATCAACTATCCAAATTACTACAATCTCCACAAGAAAAACCTTTACTGATGAATACAGTTTTGCATAAAGTTTATTACTTATAAGTAATATAAATATATATTTAACTAACCGTATCAAATATTCCTTTTGGTGATATGAATAAACCAAAATAGAAATGATTATTCAATTGAATTTGTTCTAGAAATTCTATTAATAAATCAAATGCTTGTTCTGGTTTATCAATATTAACACTTGATGCTCCATTATCACATAACAATTGTGGTATTAACTATTAACTTATTAGTAAAACAAACCAATTTTATTATTTGTCAACTTACATTTGGTTTATTCATTAAGGTTTGTGATAATTTTGTTTTAATAATGAACAGATTATCTAATAACTAGATCAATAGAAAAGGAAATTACATAGGTTTTTTGTTTAAATTATTTACATTCAAGGTCATGGCACAGAGAGGGAGTTCAAATTCGCAAGTAGTCAAGGTTTTAATAAACTTGAAAATTTGTCCTTAGAAGGTGTATTCATGTTAATTTTGTGCCCCGTTTCAAATATATATCGCTATCGATGAACATGGTTTGTGTTGAAGATTCCATAGGTATTTGGAGTTTGACAACACTTTAACCGGTAACACCTAATATGAATAGTATCCACCAAATGAAATCAAAAGACAGAAGTGAGGAGGTTCGAAGATATATTTGATAGGTTATCAATATATCGAAGATTGACTTATCTAGGCTGGTTAGCGATTGCACGGGATGTTGAGCACGACGTTCCCACTCGTGATCTAGTGCGGATGCATGACCGAGTGCCTTCAGCTAGGTGAGTCTATTGAAACTAATGTGGTCAGCATCCAAGATCGAAGACTTATAGAGATATTGATTTTGGGGATTTATTCACCACTACAGTGTATTGTCTATGTCTGTTTGGAATCATAGGCTTAGACTTTTCAATCATAACCAATTGAGCAGCATAATAGATTTTCTTGATGGCTGCTTTCAATCTCTGTCTTAAAACTATACTATTGGATTCACTTCTATATGGTAGATGGATATAAGCTTTTCTTTGGAACCGAATATACAAGAGGTCTTGGCGTTGAGTGACTTTTGCACCTATATACAAACTTTAGTGGACAACCATTTGATATTAATGCGTCAGTCAGCAACTTTTCATCTTTTTAAAATGTGTCAGCAGTGCAAATTCTTTGAGTCCTATTAAAGAAACACTTAATCAAGCTTCGCTTGTATTGCAATGAACAGAAACTATTGGAAGTTAAGTATTGCCCCATTCAAGTTGGTTTCCTATATACTGACCGTCTTATAGTACCATCCTCTCTTCGACTCAAAAGTATGTCTGAAAAGGGAAATTCACCATTATTTTCTGCTTCATAAGTCATCACGATATCATTTTGAACCCTATTGAGTTTATCTAATAACTGAAAAACCTAAAAATCTTTATCACATATAATTAGTATATCATCCATGCATCTTCTATACAAAGTTGCCTCACTAATGAGCTCACTCGTCATATTTTTCACATATGACATAAATATATCAGCTAAGAGAGGCCTAAAAGGGCTATCCATAGTAACACCATCAACTTGTCGAAAATATTCTCCATCAAACACGATCTGAACATTGGCATTGCCTAATAAAAGTAATTCTTTTAACAATGATAACCGAATAGGAAAAAGGAGAAGATTGGTTAGTCACAAACGAAAATCCACCGTTTTTGTTGACATGACATTCATGAAATTATTGATATGATTTGAAACATACTTCTTTCGGTGTTAAATATGGTTTAGGAATAAGAAGAATTTCTTGTAAAAATTTACATTTTCCTGATTGTATTGAACCAATACGTCCAGGACAATTCAATATTGTAATTATTGGACATGTCACTTGGTTAACAGGAATTGGTGAATTGGGCTTGTTATCGGGCATTATTGATTTAATCACCTTGATATATATATATATATATTGAAGGATACAAGAAATGAAGTCAATTCAATATTATGTTTATTATGAAATGATATCATAGTTAGATTTTTAAAAATGCTGTAACTTCTCAATATTAAACATTTCCGACAATATTTTGAGTCAGTCCTATGATATTAAGACTACTTTAACATGTAGTAGCGCCCACATACTCTGGGAACAGGATTATGTCTCAACAGGTCGCTGGAGTGCAGGCATTGAACGTCCTGGGTGCCAGGTGGACATTAGGTTTAGGTGGCCTGGTGGGTCGACGGAGCTTTAAAGGTCAGAGCGCCACAGACTCGACGTTTGATGGAAAGTGTGACACAGAATGTAGAAAAGAAGAAAATGACACGGTGAGCAAAACCACCGCAAGAAGCATTGCTTTAAAGGGGGGAACGAGTGTGGTTTGTTCTACTTATATCGACATAAGTAGTATATAACACTAGTCATGAATAAAGTGTCTGGTAGCAGAAGCTGAACAAGATCGAGTAGGAAAGAATGGGAACAGAAAGCAATTGGTATGGCAATGTAGAGACGATGAAGTCTGAGATGATTGATTGACATGTTATAAATGAAGTATTTACTGTATGATTCTCAAATTTGACTAAGATGTTCTATAATTTTATATTCAAATACATTCGATTGTCGCCACTTGTGTTCTTGTTCACTACATGGGACCACGATAATTTATATGAGTCTATCTGAATTAATATGGGTTTGTAATTTCTAGTCATTGAAATTCCAAAGTGTCTCTATTGTCATATGTATATCCTAAGAGAAATGTCTTAATAAAAACTTGGGTAAAAGGTTTAATTCATTAGAATTGTGGATAGTAGTGAAGTCCAAAATGTGTATCTTGTCTACAGGTGAATATTTTCTGTTAGAGAAAACAAATGACCAATTCATAATAATTGGTTTGCACTATAGTGACCAGTAGAGCTAATCCGTGTCGGGTAGAAACAGGTGTCTACCTTAGTACAATGGAAGGTGGTCGCGCAATTTCGTGGATCGGTTGAGTTTATACATTAACATCATTGGATGCCGGCTCAGTGGTCCACAGGTTAGGAGTTCACGCGCGAGACTGAAGGCCCTCGGTTCGAATCTCGCGATACGGGATCGTGGATGCTCACTGTTGAGGAGTCCCACAATAGGACGAAACGTCCGTTCAGTACTTCCAGGTTTTCAATGGTGGTCTGACATCAATCGGTTATATCTAGAACTTAGCGTTTTATTATACCGCGTACAACAAGAGCACTCGAACGCTAGGACCCTTCAAGTCACAAATGAGAACATAGAAAACTAGTAAAAGGAATGCTATTCCAAAACAATGTCAAATATGGTACAAACAGTCAGGTATTTAGTTTTTTATTAAGAACGAAATCATCATTATAGTCCTTCAATCCGCATACAGGGTTTTAGCATTTATCCAATAGGTAAGCTACACGTAAGGATTCCGGAATATTTTTCTAAAAGATAATTAGATGGAATATCTTCGGCTTACCCATGGGCTATCCTCATAATTAGTTGGATGGAAATGTCTTTTTCTAAAAGACCGAAGCAACATCTAGGACTATTTTTTTATTGACTAACTCTTCGCTCATCATATTGTGCTACATTCAAAATACAGCTCGATTATTTTGGTATTTTAGTTAATATCAAAATCACACATTGTAATTTCATAAGTTTAGTTTTTAATAGTAAGTTTTCATATTCAATTATGTCATCTTTGCTTACTGATTCGATAAAGAATGGAATAAAGAGGCTGTCTACAAGTCAACTGACAAAAAGGCTTCAAGAATCACTTATCCTGACACTTATGTTGTTATGGAGTCCAATAGACTCAGGTTGGAAACCTACGGATCTCAATAATCATGTTCACAATGGAACTCAATCCCAACACCTTTCGCATGAAACATCAACACGTTATTATCCATTCAGCTACTGAGTTCAAACAGTTATGAAGTTTTTTCAAACGATATGTTTGAAAAACCTATTCTAAAAACTTGTCAGACAATCAGCTATATCAGGATAATCAGTACAGGATACATGTATGTCATCAAAGACTGATCGAACTTTATCAACAAACGATTAAATCAAATTGTTATAAACAATAATAGTAATTTAATAGTTGAGCTCATGGGTAAACTGAAGCAAGACCACTATGGAAAACATGGAAGCACTACATGGCCGTTGTGTCTTGTAACGGCACTCCTCCACACCCATGACTTTACACAAAGTAGACTCGAACTCAGGACCCTCGGTATCGCATGTGAATACCTAACTTCTAGACCACTGAACCGGAATCCAACGGTTTTATTGTCTAACTTCAACTAACCCAATGTTTGAGATGTTAAGCGTTCTCGTGCAAGACCGGTAGGTCTTAGGTTCGAATCCTACGATGCGGGATCATGGATATACACTCCTGAGGAATATCATAATAGGACGAAACGACAATCTAGTGCCTTCAGATTTTCCATGATGGTCTAGCTTCAATTGATTCATGAACTCAACTATTTCAAAGAATTTTCTATTTACCTCATTATAAAGTGATTTCATATACAATTGAAAATTGATCTTCGGTTTAGAACATTTCATTGCTGTTAAATGTAAACTAATTGATAACCAAGTTAGATCTGTTGCAATGAATGGTGCAATTGAGATTATTTGATTTGGAAGAAGTGTAATTATATCTTTATTAGATTTTTTTCTACATCAAAATAAACCATTTAAAGAAGTAAAAAAAAAAACAAACCTTACTTGATAATCTGTAAAACATGTTTGTATAGTTTGAAAACAAGATTTAGTTAGATTATTGTATTCGTTTTAAAAAAACTTGTTTAATCACTATGTAAACAAATTTTGGTATGACTATAATATTATGGATGAGCCAATCGAAAGCGTTTGAGGGATTTCAAAGTCGCAGCGCCAATCTCAGTACCCGATCCTCACATACGATTGGTTCACAAAAGATTGGAGGGAAAAAGAGACAATTGAGCGACTACAACAAATGGGACTAATAAGAAATTCCTCGATTTGTTGTTGTGATAATCGAATAACTTGTGGACATTCTGCAGACTACCGTGATGATGTTGTCTTTCGATAGAGTATGTGTTGGAGGAAGAAGCCTACTAGAATAGGAACTTTTTCGCTCGATTCAGATTAAGACTAAGGCAAATTGTGACAACTGTTGTGAACTGGATAATAAAAGCACCAGTAACACTGGCTGCAGTCTGTTACTACATTATATACGATTGATTGGAGAGCGCACAGACACCTACATAGACTTAATTATGTGCATCATGTCGTTATCTACAAGCGGCACTTCATGGATCCGACAACCAGAGTGCACACAAACAATATTGAAGTTATGTAGTCGAGGATGAAAGAGTTTTTACGACCTTATCATGGCTTCAGAGGCCGACTATTATTGAGCCATATAGATGGTTTCCTCTACCGTATGTATTATGATTTTAGAACCTCAAAACCTCCCTCAAACCTTGACAAGTTTTTGAACCATTTACGAGAAGTGTATCCACTTTATTCCTTTGGTTTAGTATATATTTTAACTGTCTTCTGATTGACTAATATTCCTCAAGGTCACTTAAGATTCCTCTAAAGATCGTCCGTAAATTGTCCTCCTTGTTTTTTTTCAAATTTTGTATTATACTACTCATTATAGTTATTAAGTAGCATTTATAGTAATTATAAGTTGGTTATTTTTATTTATTTTTTTGAACACTTGAATATTGGTACAAGGGGGCATCAGATACATATGCGCCACACAAATCTCATTTGACGTGTGTGAGGACTTTGATACTGCCCAGGCGCTCAAACCGAAGCAGATGGTTTTCTTAAGGGGCCACACCTGGAGCCTTCGACATAAAGGTCTAATCCACGATGCAGTGGAGCAGCGTCAAGAGATGCGGTCACATGGTAGCCGGTGACCAGTAATTGGTTCATACGCCATTTATTCCCACAGGATACTTGAGTTCATGTACATCACTGGTTTGGAATGAGGGTTTTCTAACTCCCCTAGTACGATTCTCCATATCTACCAACCAGGTTAAAGCGCCGGATATTCGCTTTTCATCCTCTCAATTTCGTAAATAACAGTAATGCCACGAGAAAGCAGTGGGTAGGACATCCCTAGCAGTGGTTGTATATACATGGGGCCATGTGAGAGCAATTGGAGAAGGAGAGCAGACTCTCTCCACCCTCAGCCGTACCAAGGCGATAGGGGGCCACCCAAATATTACATATCATTTTACCCCACAAAATATTTTAATAATGAAATGATGTATGGATATCTAACTGTGGAATTTTACAAAACATGAAGCAATCGACATACTGATGTTTAATTTTATGAAGTTTAATGCTAAAAAGGTTTGAACAATTTTCCAGTTACTAACCAAAATGAATGTGACCATCATGAAACCTAAATATTATAGTTGTTTATCATATAAAATGAAAGCTTGTGGAATACACATTATCTGATTTTCGCTTCCTATTTGCATTCACATGTATAATTCTTTGAGTAAAAGTATTTTCTGCCGTTAGATAAAATGAATTGTTTCAGAGTGTTTTATCTTAGTCAGTCCGTCAGCTACAACGAAGGACCAGGCATACATATGTGCATCGGTCCCAGTTGCCATACTGCATTAGCACAGCAAGATGAACACCGAATTCATACAAGTAGTCGATTCAATGGTGGTAATGTATAAGAGAAAGATTGCATATAAGGAGATAGTACAGGAAGAAAGAATTAGTTGGTAGAAAGTAAGATATGAAGCGATTTCAATCTCATAGTTTAAGGGAAGACAGAGGGTGTATATCCATAACAGTAAATTTTAGCTCGTATCCTAATGCTTTAACTGATCTTCAATATTTCTAATCTGGTTTCATTTATCACCACAAAACTTCTCTAGGAATCATATCATAGAAGTTTGTCTGTGAAGTAATTTTAACACATTTAGATAAGATGTATGAAAGTTTTTATACTTTAAATTGACTTGGTATTGTTTGCTTGAATTTTATCATTGTTGTTTAGGGCTACAGTCGGTCAGCTTCTGATTGGCATATGTGTATACTGTGCGTATTGTCTCGGTAATGCCTTAATTCATAAGTATTTTAAGCAAAGATGGAGAGTGGCTATCAGGACTCAGAAGCTATGTGGATAACGTGGTGGCGTTTGAAGCGAACAGTACTAAGTTCGGGTCCCACAGTCAACATCAACTGTGAGATGCAGGTACATCCAGCTGAAAAGTCCCAAATGAGACGAAAAGTGCGTCCTGAATTTCACTGCTAGCCACTATCCGTCTTTGCTTATAAGGTTTAATACTTTGTTCATTCATTTACCAAGGTTCATATTCACATAACATTACATCAAAAACAAAGAAGAGAATACAACCATTTTCAAAACTACTTTGCATTTTGTTCTGATGTAGACTTTAACGGGATTTCTTTTGAACCAATAACTGCTATTTCTTTCTCGCTTTCATCCGTTTGCATTTTATTCAATTGCTTTCTGTATTCATTGTAGAAGTTTCTAAATTGTAAAGTTTATGAAACCATTAGTAGGAGATTATATTCAAACGTCTTAGTACAATAGTCATGCAAATAAAAGAAATGAATAAATTCAATTTCGTGTGATATACATTTGGTTAAATTCTAAGTCATTTTAGCACACAAATAATGAAATGATAGTTTGATGGAAGGCAAATGACAAATCTACTTCTCCAAGACAATGTCATTTATACGCCATCAAAATATTTTAATCTTCAGTCGTCTAACATATTTCTTATGATAACCAAAGTTCAATGGCTGAGTGTAATGATACTAAGTGTCTTCAAAAACCTTAAATCATTCTCTAGTATCAAAATTAAATCACAAAAAGATCGATACATTGTTGTCAGAATAATGAATAGCAGTATATTTCACATTTTATATAAAAGACAGACAGATATCATCAACATAGAGCTTTTTTTAAAAAACGTCTATTGTTTTACTGTCACATATTCAACCAGTATTTATTTGTGATAAAATACATATGCAACCGCAATGTTTTCCAAGTAAAACTTTATCAGGTTTCATATCCACATATCAATACACATTTACTCATATCTACTATGGTTTTGTTCTCATTCTATTGTGATTTTTTCATGTAGTTAAGATAATCTGAGGACGATTTTAAGAAGAATACTTATATTTATATAGTTTAGATTTAACATTGTCTGAACTGATTTTTCAGGAATCAAAAACTATTTCCCAGTATAGAAATTCTATAAAAAGTCGACAGACAAAGATGTTCCCTACTTATCTATCCAACAGACACGCTAGTTAACATTTGATGATGACAGCCTAAAAAACAGACGTTGTTCTGGTAATATTTGTAATACATTTTAAGAGTATAAAAGTACGAACACTAGGGGTTCTTTGTCCTTGCCGTTGTATTTACGGTTTACATTAAAGATGATGGTCTAAGGCAATATATTGTGTTGAATATGAATTAAACGCATCTGTCCAACACTTTCTATTATCTGCAGTCGTAGTAAGGTACCGTAAATGGAATGAATAGTTGCTTTTAACAATTATTAGACATTGTTTGAGATTAGTTCCCTTTGAAGTTGAATCGGGCTTTAGCTAAATGCTGATTTTGTAATCAGAAGTGACATCACAGACGTATGATATAACTATATTTACCTCCGTTCCAAAAGTACGGCAAGAAATGATGTCTGACATGATTGGATGTCCAAAAATAATGATATTATCAAGTGCAGAAATGATTATGCTAAATAGGAAACCAGGTGCTAAAATGGTAAACATTTAGTGCTTATGTGTTACTTTATAACAAGCGAATGAACTGGCTATGAACATAAATTATTCGTTCGATTTCATATATTCTGCTTAGGGTAAATGCACTCGACCACGGCGGTAATAAAAAGCCAAATTCTAATTAATTTGGACGGATTTATTTCAGTGTCTAACGTGAACGTACGGACTTTGAGATGATGGATGGAAATCGGTCAATGCACCAGTCATTCTCAAACAAAACGTGACAACATTTACAAGCACGAAAGGTACAAGCGAGTATACAGATACCTGCGTACTAGCATACACATATATATAAAGTGTGCTTGTGGTTACACTTAAGGAATTAAAAAGGCTAAAATATTAGGTGTTGGAAAAGAGGAAAGATTAGAATAATACAGTTGTCCAAAGGTTATGACAAATCATTTATGCTCGTGTTCACAGAGATTTGTAGCAATTGCTACAAACATTCAAATTCAACTGTTCCCTTGACGATTTGTAGCTACGAGAATACTTGCTGTATCCTCAGGATAAGAAAGTATGTATAACACGTAAAGTCACTCGAAGAAATGGAAAGAAACCTACAAAAAAGAGTTATTACCTGATATATTTATCAATTTCAAACATCTCCGCTGGTGACCATAGGCAATTATTCAGTAAATCCACAACTGCCTCTATAAAAACTGAGAATTCAGAGGGTGTTGATTCATTTAAGATGTTTCCATAAGGCAGACAGTAATTGCATCCATAAACATAGTTTAGCCCTGTGGTAACCTTCAGTAAATCAAACTACTAAAATAATGGAAAAACCTCAATATTTGTTCGCCACAGTGTAAGTACACTCAAAGAACTGGAAAAGGTACCAATATATGAATAGTTTCTGTCCACTTTGATGCTGACAACTTTTGGAGTAAGGGAAATGTTTTCGAAATATTTGCTCTGTAAAATGTTAGTCAGTCAACTGTGGTTACTAAATAGCCGGAATGATCTGATGCATTTTCCTGGAACATAAGTTGCAGAGCATTCTCAAGTTCTTTCAAAATATTGTTGTTAGAAAAATACTCAAATGCTCTTGTCTTTATATCCATGGTTTCTAAAACAGCGCTGTTACCTTGCCAGTTGGTGATGATCGGTTTCAAACATAATAAACAAGTTCAAACAAGCGTCTTCTGATGTGCAAATAACAGAGTTTTCGATTGTTTAGACGAACAACCTTATTTTGTACGTTTTGTACTATTTTGCGAGTCTTGCTTTCACGTACCTGTTGAATCTTTGTCAACTTACCTGTGAGAAGAATCATTAATAACCAACATACGAAAACCATCCTGATACACGTAGTCATCAAACTGCTTTCTAAGCGGTCGGTTGTTTGCAATTATAAAGGTACTAGGACAACTCGGGGGCTAAGAAAAGATTTTGTTTCACTGAATCAACCAATGAGTAAAGCTCACTTAGCTGTCGATTCATACAGTGTGAGAAGAACAAAGTGTGAGAATAGAACGAGAAATAAGGATGATAATAAGCGAGTCAGTAAGTAGTTACTGATGTGTGATAATGATAACAGTATTTGGCGGTAAATAAATCCCCAAAATCAATAGCTCTGTGACTTTTCGACATTTAATGCTGGCCACATTTGTTTTAATTAGCACCAGATCATGAGTGGGTTCGAACCTCTTCACCTCAGACTTCTGATTTCGCCGGGTTAGCACAATCCAATTGTAAAAGGTGTTACTAATTAAGGTGTTGTCAAACTCCAAATACTTATAGCATCTTTAGTGGTGAGCTCGACATGATCACGTTTACCTGTTTGCAAACTGTGGAGCACGAGCATGGCATGACCGGCCCGAGTGTACAACTCTCCGCAGTGGTGAAGACACTGACGCGCAAATTCTACGGGTACGTCGCACCTGGTATGTTTACCAGAGATGTTTCGGAACTTTATGAAGCTCTATAAAGGTTGATTCTTAAACGCGGATATCTAGCCGATCGATGAAGTTTAGATCGACTCCTCAATAAAACCTAACTAAAACATGACCCAGTAACGGATATGTTGTTACGGATGAGAAAGACCATTGATCGACGGATCCTCGACGATGGCCTGTTTAGACAAATTCACTTGTTTAAGCTTCTTCAGCAGGTGCAGGCAGTGCTTGTTTGATTTCAAAACAACGCTGTAGACAACCTGGTTGCACCTGCCGGCCGAATCCTGGAGATCACAAGAACTTCCAACGCCTAGGTCTTCAGTCAGAGAAAAACCCCAAGCGACAATAACTGACGTCACGGAACTCTGCCATACTCTAAAACGTTACCTTAGTGTTCGTCATGATCGTGAATGGTCTCAAAACCCTCTGAAGAGTACTTTGCGAAAACGATCTGTCTCTAGATTACGAGAGACAGATAACCCTGATTGTTACTGGTATCATAATCAGTATGGGAAATCTTGAAATTGCAGAAAAGTTGTAATTCTCTGAGCCCCAAGCTAACAGACCAACGTTTCGGTGAAATTCCAAGCCGGCATGCATTAACGGCAACCGTAGCCGACGAACATAACCGTCTGCTATACAAAAGTCTGCCATCTCGTTGACACTGATGTAGAAGTCAGCGTTCTTCCAGCGAATTCTAACTACCGAATGAACAAGGCAGGTTCCAACTTACAGACAGCAAATGGATAATTAACAGCAACACACTGAAAGCCATATGTGTATCTTAACGTGGGCTTACACAAACGCATTCACTACATTTTTTTATGCTGCAGATGCCAATCATTGAAATAGACCTGCCACAACATTATAATGTACTCATCGACACGCGTGTAGACGGAATTACTAATTTATGTGTTGCGCAACTTTTTCCGGTTATAAATTGTCCCCAGTCAGAGTGAAACACACGACCAATCCATACTATGAACAAATACTCGATAGGTACTCTGCGATATACCAAACTCAATCAAAACTGCAATGTGTAATCGGCAATGTCACACATCATATCACAGCTACTGAAAGCGTTCTGACTAGCTCCCGAAAAAGTGAGGTTGGCCAACAGAGAATCGTTCAGCTTTCAACAGCCCATAGGCGTCTCCTCTGCACACAGCCCATGAAACGGACAGCAACGACAGGCGTCCAACTGGTGACTATCAGCGATTGAGTGCGAAAACTATTCCTGATCGTCACTGTTGCCTTACGCTCACGATGTGACAGCTAAACATTTGAGTTCCCACGACATTCTTAACGCCTCTGTCAGAACACCTTTCGGTCTCTACGAATTTTCGTGTATACCGGTTTAGGAAATGATGTACGAGCTTTCCTGAGGTTCATTGAGGATGCTTTTCGAAATCCGAAATTCGTACATGTGTGTGTTGATGACTGCTTGATTGTAAATTTGAACAAAGAATCTCATCTTCAGCGTCTGTACCTTGTCTCCGAACGACTGCATAAACAGTGCATAACTGTCAACATTCAGAAATGTCAGAGTCAAACTGACTCCTTAAACTTTTTCGGGCACATTACTGGTGCTCATGAAGTGCAAAGAGGCAGTCATTCTTGTCTACTCAAAACCGACTATAGTCAAGCAATTACGTAAGTTCAATGCCTTTTTAATTTTCTATCGGCGGTTCACACCTAACTGCGCGTCACTTGTGAAACCTCTAACCGACCAACTTCAGGGAAACGCTAAATCCGTGAATTTAAACGAAGTCACGGAAAAAGCATTCTCCACAGTCGAGGAACTTATCGCCTTACCAAAATTGCTCTCATACTGGGACACCGACGCACTCATTAGTATCGCAGTAGACGCATCTGATTCGGCAGTCGGAAGAGTCACACAACAATGGGTTAACCAAACTTGACAATTTTTAGCATTTTTCTCGAAATAGTTGCTAGACACCGAATCCAGGTATAGCACTTTCAGTAGGGAACTCCCGCCTATATATTGTGTTGTGCGGCACTTTCATCATTCTGTTGAAGATCAAAATTTCACTCTTTTAACCGATCACGAACCCTTTATATTCACTTTAAGCTCATCTTCAGACAAGTGCTCACCTAGAGAGTCTCGACAACTTGAATATATTTTGTAGTTTACTTGAGATATACAACGCATTTTTGGGGTGTACAATGTAATTGCAGACTCCTTGTCTCGTTCAACTTCCCTGCCGACTGGACGTCGTAAGGCATTCAGGGGGAACTAGGTATAAAAACCTGGATTTAAGGTCCTTCATTCTCAAGGAATAGAGGGTTTGTAGAAATACCGAAGCTTCTTTGGGAAACGATGTGGAAAATGTTGAAGTTAAAAGTACTCACATGATCATTTCAGCCATAGTAAAACTTATTTTCTGTCCTATTCTATTATACGGCTGAAATTGGATAAAGCTGATTAAATCGGTAGCATGGTTGGAAAGATACGTGATCTATTTAGCCACCATATGCTTTCATCATCAAGAGAAGTCCTCAGGTGTTGTCTGTCTGACAGTTGGTGAATTAGATGCTCCCAGTTGTAATGTATTAGTCCTGGTGCAAAATGGAGTATGTGGAAGAGCTACAAAAGATTAGTCTTCTAGGGTGAGCCCAATGACTGCAGATTATATATTAGGTTTATGGAGGTTCAGGTGTCCTGTGTTACTCATTGACATAGAGAAGTTAACTAGAAGAGCCGTGAGTGGGTGTATACAGATGTGGCTCCGCGTAGCTGTAGGGATTTTGGTGGTCGGTGAAGCGAAAAGAATACACCGAAAATTTTTCCGGAACATTTTATTGGACAGTACTGACATTTATTTGCTGCTTCTACCTGTCATGTATTTTAGCCTTTATTCAGGTCTCTCTTAACAGCACTTTATTTTCTTCATTCTTTCCTGTCTGAGCTTCTTTGAAATGAATTTCATTAGAGGCTTAAGTTTTGCTACTTAGTTTTGCTATTGGATGTTGTCAGATAATTGACAATAAGGTCGTATTTAACTAAGATCAAGGTCACGGCATGGTTCAACAAATGACTGATAGAATTCAACTCTCTGTTTAAAAAGGTTGCTGTAACCTTTGCAAATAGATGTGTGATCCCATGTTGTCGGGACTATTCTTACTGATCCCCAGGTATCAAACTCTTGTTTATTAACCATTCCTTCAGTTCTTTAGCACGCAAGTTTGTGTTTGAGAAACCCATTACTGTGTAACGCAGGCTGTACTGTTCGAGATATTTCCTATTTTTGATATAATTTCCTCTGTTCCTCAGATTACAACCGTTTAAACTCAGTACGAAGTTTTTGTTTTGGTATAATTCCATGCGACTCACTCAAAAACGCTGCGTACGCTATACAAAAAATGCGATCCGGCCTCATCAAACGAGTTTCGATTCGTCAGTTCTTTGTTCAAACAGAGTATTGGTATCCCGGTTGTTGTACTTTAGGTCTTTCAAATCTGTCGGCGCTCGTTTTGCACATGTTCATCTTGATTTGGTAGGACCCCTACCAGATTTGAATGGAAACTCCTACGTCTTAATGTAACTATACAATTTCACACGGTGGCCAGAAGCAGTAACTATTAAAAAAATATTGCGGAAAAATTGTCTGCGCTTTTGTGGGAGGATGTGTAGCAAGCCACGGCTGTCCTTCAACTGTTGATTCAAACTGTAGACGCCATTTCAAACCTAAACTTTTCCGTTGTTTCATCACACTACTTTGAATCACACGATTCTGAACGACCACCCACCACACACAAGCCAACGGGTCAGTAGAACAATTACACCGATCGTTGAATACCCCACTCCCAGCTGCAAACGTTTCACCATAGACGTACGCTCTTCCGCTCATGTTACTCGGTATTCATAGTGGGTTAAAAACTGATGTTGGATATATGGTAGTTGAACTCGTTGATAGAACAGCTTCCAGAAGAATTCGTAGATCTTTCATCTTCTTCAAGGAATATCGACGTGAACTCTTGCCCTAGCAGGCCTGCAACCTCAATGCGTTTAGTTAAACATGTGTCTATATCAACCAATTTCTTCGTTCAATCTGCCTCACGACGTAGAACACACATTCTCGTGAGTCATGACTCATTGCGACAACCTCAGAAAAAGGCATGCGAAGGATACTTCAAAGTCCTCCACGTTAAACCCAAATT